ACACACAAATTGTAATTAAACTAAAATCTGGCAGCCTATGAGTGATCTTTCTTCTGTGAAACTACTTCACCAAACTGTCATCATTTGAGCCTATTCTGCAGTGACTCCAAAACAATTAGTGACCCCTGAGTGGCATGGAGCCTCTTTTGCCTGGGATCCAGTCAGCATAGGCCTTGATAATTTACCTTTTTAGGGCAAATTATTAAGAGAACATCCAGAAATAATCCTCTGCAGACCTGCTTTGGGGACATTTTCATGCTCTATGTCAGTAGAAGATTTTCAAGATGTCATATTGGACCAATGGAAGTGATTTCACTCTAGTCAAGCCAATGTAACATTCCCCATTTGCTTACTTTGTGATGAAATCATATGCAACATGTGACATTTACTTCTTTCTCTGATTTCCCCTTTCCTTTTAATGTTTCTGGTTGTTTGGGCCACGGTTATATCTTTACTGTGCTGTGTTTCCACCTCCTAACCACCTCCAACCCCGTTGTTAGGTGTTAGAATTGCACTTTCTTTTAAAAGGTTTATATAATGGAAGCATTTGACACAGAGTGGAAAGAGTGTCAAGTTAGCCTATGAAGATAGATTCCTCTGGACCTTTTCTTTAGCTGTTTAATTGCCTTTGCTTCTTTCCTTTCCCCTCTTTTTATACCTTCTTGTTCAAATGCCTGCAAAGTCAACAGGTCTTTGAGAAAGTTGTCTTGGGGGGACAGGCTATATATAAATAAATATATATATATTTTTTATTCCTTGCTAGTTAGTCTTCTTTCCTTTCTTAATAGGAAAGAAAAAAAACTCCAGTTGAAAGTGAGATAAGGAGCCCTTCCAGTAGCTTTACAATAAATATTACCACATATATACATACATACATACATATATATGTGTGTATATATTGTTTATGAAGGATCTTCATTTGGCATTGCTTTAATTTATATGTTACACAATCTAAGCACTGTTCTTTCTACCCTTCCTCCATGCTCTTCTTTGTGCAAGCAACTCAAAATATTTTTAAAGAAAGTTTACATTATAGTTATTTTCAAATCTTTGCTTATAAGTATTAAGAAATATCTAAATGGCTGCCATAATTTAAAGCTTTGGGGGTTTTTGTTTTGTTTTGTTTGGATCTTTTTGGGGCAATATGTTTTTGCTGGAATATGAAGTCTGAAACCTTCTTGTGCTGGGAACACATGAAAGTTGTTGAAAAATGACAAGCAGTCTGTGCATGTCTCTGACGCTTTGTATCATTCTTAAGTGAACATTCAGTCATTGGACAATAAACAGTATTATCAAATAAAATTTTGTCTCCACTGTATTCAAGGTGCCTATCACACAATCAGTTGATCTCTAACACAATCACAGAATCTCAGTTAGAATAGACTTTATGTCCAACCCATATCCCAAAAAGAATGCTCTAAAATATACCTGACAAATGGTAATCCAGTCTTTGCTCAAATATCTCAAGTGAAGAGCAATACACTCCTTTCCAAGGTAATCTATTTCCCTTTTGGATAGCTCTAAATGTAAGAAAAATTTTCTATATCAAAGGAGCCAATTCACTAAAGAGCACTTGCATTAAGTATATTTTTGTGTTAGTACCACTAACTAGGAACATACAAAGCAGAGTTAACAAGGTTTTGCTAAACAAGAAACAAGTCAGTAGCAATTACAATGATCTATACCAAAACCAAAATGTGTATATGGTAGACCAGACCACAATAATGCCTCATTTATCTGGGTTTCTTTTAGTTGGCAAACAATTCTTTTAAATGTATCCAAAGTCATAAAAAATAAGTGAAAAGAGCTCAAGAATAGCCAAATCAGATGCCACAAAGGCCTAGCATTATTAAAATGCACATTAAGGCATGTGCATTTTATTCTTACACCACTGGTGAACAAGGGTATACTGTTGTTAAGGTTCAGGGGCACCCCAAAATGTTAGGGTCATCTCGAAAGTATTCACTCAGGCTGTCTCCAGATCAAGTAAAGGAGTTTATTGTGGGTAACACAACACACCAACCAGACTCCTCTGCCACTTAAGGGAGACCCCAGCTTGGGGGGGGCAGCTCCTTAAGAGAAACAGCCCCCTCAGGGAAAAGGGGCTCCCAAGGGAGATTGCTCCTTAAGGGAGACCATTAGCCAAGAGAGGCTAGAGATTCTTATAGAGGAAAACCTGCCTTGGGTGGGGAGACGAAGTAATCAGAGACTGTAGTTCACAGTTTTAGGCTTTATCTATCATCATCATCATCATCATCATCATCATCATCATTATTATCATTATTCCATTATTCAACCTAGGGGAGAAGGGCTGTTAGTTTCAGTATTTCATTGACCAGCCTATTGAATCTCATAGTCTCCTAAAGTGGCTTCAGGTGGTATTTGAGATAATGGGCTTCTCATCAACCACTCTGTTTTGAATCTTGTCATCTCCCCCCTCAAAAAACAGGCACTCAAATTCATTTGGGAAAAAGGGCAAGGGTCGTGCATTCCTCAACACTGTGGCATGCCGTGTGGTTTGCTGATGGCTGTGAAACTCCTCACCACACTCAATCCCCAACCCCCAATTGTAGTTGGCTGCTTGCTTTTCCCAACCTAGTGTTAAAAAGATCACATTAACAACTCTAGTCATGGCTCCAAGTCCTAGAAAAGTAAGGAAAGAAAAGAAGCATGGGAAAGGTAAAGGACTGCCTGGGAACTTTTCTTTCTTACCAACATAAACATTTAGGATGCAGTGATTCCCTTTTTACCATGAGCAAAAAAAAAGTTTGAGAACCACTACTTTAGACACAGTTACAACAAAGCTTGATAATCTGATTTCCCAATCTACAGAAGATTAAAAGCAGCAAATTAGAAGAGAAATTAGGAAAGAGATAGCATGAGGTAGGTACATAACAGTGAAAGGATAAGATTCCATTGATTATCCTGCCTCACATAAAAATAATTACATTTGTTAGGTGATAATATTTATTGGTTGAATCAATCAGAAATAAGGATGAACAGGACCTGTAGACCTTCTTGAATCAATCAAAGCTATTGCCTGAGAAACTTTGTCATACCCTTAGAAACTTGTATAAAAGGGAGGAGCTAACCATATCTATTCATAAGGTCTGAAAGTGGAGTAGAATGAGTAGGGTCAAAAAAAGTTAAATGGGAAAGAACCAGCAACCTAGGGACAACCAGCAAAAGGAGAAAGAGAAGGTAAGACTGATCTGTGGTGGAGATATTGAGGAAAGTCATCAGCCCTACAAACATCTCAGAGTTAAAGATTTGGTCTACCCCACCAGAATACTCACCTACTCAAGGACTGAGGGAAATTGCCAGAAAAGGTCTGCTTTTTTTTTTCTATTTCCCTTCCTAGTGGCTATCTAACTACAGACACTATAATAATATAGTCTGCTGTTTTGTTACCCAGATGTTTCCAGTAACCTGAATTTTGCCTTAACCACAAAGATGCTGTGGAGTTAACTAGAGGTAGATATAAATAAATTTAACACAGAAATCCTAATGTTAAGAACTTTCTAAATTGGGGGTTCAGAAGGAATGTGATTGAATTCATAACTTTTATTTTTTTGAGGCAATCAAGGTTAAGTGACTTGCCCAGGGTCACACAGCTAGTAAGTATCTGAGGCTGAATTTGAATTCAGGTCCTCCTGACTTCAAGGCTGGTGCTCTAGCAACTGTGCCTCTTAACACCTCCTTATAACTTTTAATATAAAATAAATTCCCCAAAGCCATAGAGGGGGAAAACATTGTGAACCTTAGGAGGTCATTATATTACCCCTAGGCTTAAAACAAGCCACTTATTATTATAAGCTGCAAAAAGCATCAATTGATAGTAAGGGACAAAAAGCAGACTGAGAATTCAGAAAGCATAACAGCTCTTCATATGCCTCAGGAGTTCCCTAGGGTATTACTGTATTACAGTAACTAGTTACAGTAATAGTGAGTGGTAATGGATTTAGGGTTCAAAATGAGACATATTTTTTGTATAGCCACTGGGGGAACTTGCTTTGCTTGACTATGCATATCTGTTATGAGAATTTTTTTCCAGTGGGGGGGTAGAAGAGAAATAGATTTCTATTAATCAAAAAAATAGATGTAAAATGTTACACCAACTTTCTGATGAGGTGACTGTATTAATGTTACTTTTTTGTTTTACTTTGTTACAACAGACCTTTTATGATAGGTCTATATGTTATAGAAGTTAAGGAGATGTTTGGCTGAGGAAAAGTACTAGCATCTGTGGCTCCCTTACCCTGGTGGGCAGAGCCACTCTTTCTGAGACCCCCCTATCTCCCCCAGACATCTCAGAGAACCTGACTTTTCCTTTAGTCACCCCTTCTCACTTGTACCCTGGGGGGTAGAGGGGAATTGGTTCTTTTAACCTGTTGTAGGGCAACATTATAGAAACTTGCCTTAGACAGGCCTTGACTCATTTCTATTCACCAAACTACCTCCCATCAGAACACTGTCAGGCTTATTTTGTGTCTAGGTATGAAATCTAATTTATTTGATCTCTTCTCTGCTTTGGGGAAGCTAAAATATTAATTATCAATACTATCTCTTTCATTCAACTGGAGCCCCCAGTTAGGGAAGAATCCCAGTATCAGAACATCTCCCTCTCTGTATCCTTAGGTGATCAGTCTCTCAGCTACTTTTCTAATCCCCTCAGGAAAACACACACACACACACACACACACACACTGAACAATATCTTAGAGAAACCATTTCTTTTTTGAGAACATATGGAAAATACAGAAAGAAAAGATTTTCAAGAATTGAGGAATGGGTTATATAGGTTCAGCCAGAACAAGGTAAGGGATGGAAATAATAAAAGTAAGTTTCATCATTGCTATTCTCAGCAGAGACAGCTATAGTCTTGAGTATTTTCCCAGGAGCATTTTCGATCAATTGTGGCTTCCCTCCTTTATCCCACCACAGGTCCTCACCATCTTTCCTCCCTATTGACAGAGTATGGAATCTGGACACCCCCACCCCTTGAACTTTCCCACAAATTTCAGGAACCCAGCCCCTGAACTCAGATCCCTGGCATGAGGCATCTGGCTAATATAGTATAATCCTTTATACTGGCCTTTCAGTGTGCTTCCCCACCCCCACCCAGTCTAACCCTCCATTCTGTTACCTCCTCACCACCCCAGCCTCCGTGCCACTCCTAGATCCCATCCAAATCTTCTCACAATCTTTTTCCCTATAAAAATATCAGTCTTGTCCCTATCAAATGCAAAAGACTCGCTAGAAGTCTGGCTCACTTGTATTGGTGTCACAAATAAACTCACTACTTTAACTGGAAGGCTTAAGTGGTTGAATTCTTTTGAAGTAGACTTGAGCACTGTACCCTTGCTTTTTGGGGTTCCCAGTACCCCTAGACCACAACATTATGATACATAACTCAAGGAATGGAGAATGTCATATAGATATATCTGCTCATCTTCACCTTAACCAACTTAGTATCACACATTAACTGAATTGGACGGTTGAGAAACTGTCTTGATTTTTAAAGTTGCCCCTGCTCCTCCCACTTTCTCCCCAAAGAGGACTGTAAAATCTCTTTACTAACCAATAACAGCATTCTCCAATAGCCATTGTAAAAAAAAAACAAAACAAAATCCTTCCCATTAATCTAAAAGATAATTCTTCACTTTACAATTTAGATAGTTCTTTCATCATGTCAGAAAACATCGCCAATACCAAATCATAAACTTCATCATGGAATGTGGGCTTCTGCCACACGATTTAGGCCGCATTGTAAGCCCATTACATTGAGTAACTAGTCTCTTCTTTAAGACAGTTCTTCTATGAAATACATACATAACTGTTCATGATTCATTAGAAATACCCTTTGTGATAAGGTGGTGTTCCTCATACCCACCTTCTAGGATAAAAAGCAGATTGTAAGGAAAACAGTATTGGAAAGATATCGGGGAACTTGAAGTTAGAAGAGCCAAGACTTCACCCTTCTTGGCCCTAGTCTATAAAATGATGGGAGTCGAGTTCCAACTCTAAAAAATCCTCTGAGAACAGTGATGAATGATTTAGACTAAGTCCTCTTTTCATTCTTAGACAGTATGGTGCTGTGGAAGGCATTGAAACGGGGATACCTGGATATATGGACTCCTGCACTAATTGTTTTGTCTTTGGAAAGCTATTTAATAATAAAAAATGATGCTTATATGGTACTTTTAAGTGCCTTGTAAAGTATATATGGTGTATATAAGTATGATGTATATGAGTACCTTAAAGTATTTATCTCATTCAAACCTTACAACAATTTTATGAGGTGGGTACTACAGATATTATTGTGACCATTTTACAGATGATGAAAATGAGACACAGATTAACTGATTTGCCCTAAGTCACACAGCTAAGGAGTATGAAAGGCTAGATTTGACTCTTCCTGACTCCAAGTTCAGCACTTGATTTCCTCACTTGTAAAAATGAAGTGTGAGTGTATATTAGGAGAGGGGAGTGTTGCTCTCCAAAGCTCTTTCTGGGTCTGACTGATTAATAATATATGAAATAATGGTGATGTAAGAGGCTATATTTTTCTAAGTGCACTTTCAAAACATTATTTTTTTTTATCTTAACCAAGACTTAATTGTTCATCACTATACTGGAAGAAGCAGTGTTGCCCTCCTGTCTCCTTTAAGCCCTGCCCAGAATCCAAATGATCAGGAATTGGAATTGAAATATGCACTGTCATTCCTTCCTTCTAAAACATCTGTGAATTCCTCCCTAAACTGTTGTTCTAGTTTTCCTTACAAGATCCAGTCACACCATGTGAAACACTGACTTTGTATCCACGGGTGCTAGGTGAATCTTAATCTACTAAGCATCCTTACAGCCTGTCAGCCTGATACCAACTGACTAGTAGAAGCACATTCTTCTAATGGCTTCAATGCTTTATTTGGAATGGACCATGTGACATAGTCAGCAGCCTAGCATCTATGAAATTAAACCACATTGGAAGAAGGTCAAGTCAATGATTTTTCTGCCGATTTCCTTCCTGGTTGAAGCAGAGATGTTGCTACAGCAACATTTCAGCAGGATTCAGTGACACTGACATGGCCAAAATAAGCAGGTTGTGCTGGTTGCTTGCCAGAGCTCACAGGCTGCAAAATACAAAATATAAAAAGTGATATATGCAATGTGCTTCTCTGCATGACAAAAATAATTAGTAACCATTAGTCTCTGAGACTAGAGGTAGAGAAAGTTCCTCATGAGGAATTTTTAATATTGATGAAATCACAAGTCTTACAAAAAATTGATCAGTTACATTTTGTATATCAGTCTAAGTTTTGCAAAACACTTTAGATACATCATCTGATTTATCTAACAACACTGTGAAGTAGGTGCTGATTAATACTGGCACTATTATTACCACTTACAGATGAGAAAACTGAGGCTCATATAGATACAACTTGCCCAGGATCAGAGAGCTAGTAAGGAGTGGACCACATGTACACTGTGTATTTCTGGCATACTAATCTCAGAAGTGACATACTGCTAAGATCCCTAATTTTATCCCCTTGTCTTAAGTTGAAAAGATGGCTAGGCTTTGGGAACTGACATGTATGAAGAGGAAGAGTAGGATGGATGAAATCAAAGAATTTCATAGTTAAAAGAGACCCTAGCGACATCTTGTCTAACTCCTATCAGAAGACTATCCTCTTTCCTTGAAGACCATTAAGAAAGACAAACCCATTAGCTACAACACGGCAGTCCATTCCACTTTTGGATAGCTATAGCTGCTGACATCAAACCAAAATTTGCCTCTCTGTAACTTCTACCCATTGCAGATTGACTATCATGATTAAGTCACGACTGGTTGATTGAGATATCGGCTGGCTGCATGGAAAGATACGAAACAATTTGAAAATAAGGCCTTGCTTTCAAAGGGTTAATAATCTAGTTGTGGAGCTTGAATGTAGATCCACAAGGTCATCTGGTCAATATTACGCATCTACTACGTGCCAAGCCCTGTGCTAAATGCTGGTGATACAAAGAAAGGCAAAAGACAGTTCTTGCTCTCCAAGAGCTCACAGTCTAATTCAGGAGACAACATGGAAACAATTATGTAAAACAAGATATAGACAAGATACAAAGGAGGTTATCAGCAGAGGGGTAGCACTATAGCATTGAGCAAGGTTAGGAAAAGCTTCTTGCAAAAAGTAGGATTTTAGCTAAGACTTGATGGAAGCCAGAGAAGCCAAGAGGAAGAAGGAAAATAGTTTAGGTATGGTGGATAGCCAGTGAAAATGCCCCGGGCTGGAGAGAAGTGAGTCGTTTGAGAAATAGCAAGCAGGCCAGTGTCCCCACACTGTAGAATATGTGGCGGGCAGCAGGGTGAAAGAAGACTGGAAAGGTAGCTCCTGGAATGGGAAGAAGTCCAGGAGGACACTGGCGTAGAAATCACGTGCTCTGCCGCAAGGAGCAGGAAGGGCGGGGGGGAGAATAGGGGAAGGAGGAGGAGGCGGAGGAAACTCTGTGACAAACACGGCGGACGGAAGCGTGTGCAGACTTGAGCGGCCCACCGAGACGTGAGAGGCTCCGCCTCTTAAAGGAAAACATACCCTCGAAGTTGGCCGAGGAACGCTCGCAGGGCACGGCACCTTTAAGGCCCGCCGCTGACACGTGTTTGAAGCGCCGGCGGAGCCCCGGATGATGCGTGTGAGGGCCCGAGAGCTAGTGGAGGGCGCCGCGCCGCTACTGACAGAGTGACACACTCCCTTCTCCTGGAGCTCCCTGGGTAGGTTGGGAGCGCGGGGAGTTGGGGGTAGAACGAGGGCGACGGTTGGTGGCAGCGACGGAGGACAGTTGGGGGGCCGCAGCGGCGGGAGGGGTCGCTGCTGTGCTGTGGTGCGGGGCCGTGGCCGCGGTCTCTTGCCTGGGGCCGGGGGTCGTGTCGATGTAACCTCAGTCGCTGCTTTGAAGGTGGGGGGCAGCGGTGGAGGGAGAGGGTTGCCTCGGCTACGGGGCCTGGGCCCTCGCTTCTTCCCCAGGCCGGGGGAGCCGGCGCTGGGGCCGAGTCTGAGGTGGGCGCCGAGGATGCTGAGCTTGGTCCCGGTGAGGGTTGACGGGGGTGGGGGAGGAAGGGTTGAACCGGCCGCCCTCGCAGGTTCTCGGGTACGTGGCGCACACTCACCCTCGGGGCTCCGGCAATCAGCGTGTGCTGGGGTGCGTACGGGTCTCGGGCAGGGTCTGCGTCAGGGGACAGTGACGACGGTCTGAGTCCCGTGTCTTTCCCTCCCCCCACCCCCCAGGCCTTGTGCATACGGGTAGGATGCACGGATGGGCCAAATGCCCGCGTGCTCCTGTGATGGGGGAGGGGAGTGTCTTTTTCGTTCCTGACTTGGGGTTCCGTAAAAGACTCTACCTTCTGTAGGAGAACCTGGTGGGGTGCCACTGCTGTCTGCCAGTGAGCCTTCTGGAGCGCCTGTGTTTCTGGCAGGTTAGATGCCTGAGTTCTTAATGCTTACCTCCTTTCTCGGTCTGCAGGCCTGCTTTCTAGACTTGGGGTTTTGCTGCAAGGTTTGCTTTTAGTACTGTTTTCTAGGGACCCAGGTCTGAAACTTCTCTCCTTGCCCAGATTCTCTTCCTCCTCCAATCAAGACAGGTCCTAAAATCGATTCTAGGGATGTAGAGGTGGTAGAGAGCTCACCTTCCTTGGAGTCTGAGACAGACAGTAGGAAAAGCCTATTTTTGGTGCTTAGCAAGATCCATGCCTATAGAAACAACACTTTTGGGAGCAATGGCCAGGGTTTTTGTTTTGTTTCTGGGAGGTGACTTAGATCAGTTAAAGGGAATAAAGTTGTCAGTTTAATGTGCTTTTGTGGGGCACGCTGGAAATGTGAGAGGAAATAATGCGCTTCTTTTAAAAACTGAGGTATTTTGAGGAAGGGAGGGAATAAGTGTTAAATGCCTGCTGTGTGCTAGGTGCTTTTACAAATATCTCATTTGATTTAAGAAAATTATTTTCTCTGGGAAAGTAACCTTTCTCTCATAAAACATTTATTTCTGATGTCTTTTCAAGCACATATTGCTTATAAGGGGTAGTATTCAACTATTTTTAGGATGAAGTAGGTTTCTTCTACTTGTCAGAGTTGCTTCCTAGGGCAGTGTCAGGTAGCAGACCAATATAAAATTAAGATCCAAGCAGCTTTTTGGTGGATATGGGAATGTCTTCAAGGAAGGAGGGGTCTTAATTTGCCCTCCTCCCTGCAATGACAGCTCCTCTCTTGAAAAGTAGCAGACTTTCTAATCTCTTAAAGCAAGCCCTGAATAGGGTTTGTGCTGTTTCCATATTGTTAATCCTCCGCTTGACTGCACATAGCAGGTGGGAGTATTTGACACATGGCAGTTGGGAAGGACCAAGAGGTGTCAGTCTTGAGCATATAGTGAGTGCACTTCTCTGTATACCCTGGAGAGTAATATATAGTCTTGAAAAGAGAATTGTTTGTGTGTTTCAGTGGTGGATATTTTGAGTATACTATGTGAAGCAATTTACCATTGGTTACTCAGAATCACTGAGTTTTTCTCTTTGAAATTTTATGCTTTGGTGATAAAGTGACATCCAGTATAGGATAATAGGATAACCTTATTTAAAACAGAACTCTTAAATGTATGAGACATTTTCATAAGTTTTAATGTGTAAAATTAAAATGTGTGATTTTTTTTAAACAGTACTGTTTTGGCTTCAGAAGGTGGTCATTTATTGCTTAGTTCCTAAAGCTTCTGCTATAATTTATGAAATAAATACTGAAGTTGGATAATCACCTCAATTAAGGCTCTCAAATCCTGTGTTTGGAAAGGAAAAAAAAATCTAGTTCTTTATCCTCATGGTAATGGGTTATGTGGATTTATTTACTTATTTTTGTCTAGAACTCAACTGACTCAACCTCCCTGAATTGTATGGCTCAAATGAAATAATATAAAATGTTTTACAAATTTTAAAGCAACCACAGTAAATGTCAGCAGATAGTATCCTTTGATATTCCTTGCATTTTCCAGGTACTCACTAAATGAAAGAACAAATTTGTTAATGGATCTGTTAACTCTTAGTCTTTTCAAGTGAAATTGATGGAAGATAAGAGATTCTAGCTAATGACCTTGCCATTACTTTTAGTATCTTCTCATTTGAGGCAACCTTCTTAAACAAAGGTTGAGATGACCATGGCAAGAATTCGTATTCAGTCCACATTGTGCTCACATTTCATCCTCTTCCTCAGTTACTCTCTAGATTGCCCTTTAGCTTTCATATACATAGCGAATGATCAGTACTTTCATGGTCTGCATTGGAAATTACTGCTAGAAGGGGGTAAGGGCAGTGGAAGTTTGTTTAATAATTTTCTGAAGATGTCTTGGTTCGTCATACTGGGGATTCTGATGGTTGATAATATTCTGTTCACCTGGCAGTTTTGCTGACTTAAAAGGAAAAGGAAGAGAAGCTTCCTAATTCAAGGGCAGAGGACAACACTTGACTTGCTGGAGTAGTCCTCTTCCTCCATAACTGATCAGATGCTGCTGCAGCAGCTAGTCTAAATCCTCACATCCCAGGTGAGCTTGCAAAGGTTTCTGCACATTCTGTTATCACTTCAGTTTTTTTGTACGTGAACCTACACTATTGAGTGCTTTTGAAGACTTTCCCCTAGGACAGGTATCTTGTTTTTAGCACATTTCAGAGAACTCAGACTTAATTTATTAAGTTTTAAATATGTGTATATCTGTGTGTATACATATATATTTTATACACATGCATACACAATATACGTACGTATGTTACACACACATATACACACAGATACCGTGTCTATATAGGGTGTTCCAAAAGTTATAGTGTGGTTATAAGCTACTAAAACTCCACATTGATTTAAGACAGTGTGGGAGAGGAAATCCATATAAACGTAGATCATCCATATTGCTATATGCTTGACCTTCAGGCAACATTGAAATGGAGAGTGTTTAGTTGATGTTTATAATACCAAACTAGATTCCTGAGTTCAAAGGAATTTCCTAGTATAGATTTTCCTCATTAATTTTTTCTAAGAGTAATTCAAGGAGTTCTTAAATCCTGCCTAGTATGGTCTAGCCCAAGTGACAAAGTTAGCTGATGGTTGGTAAATTCACTTGTTCCCTTGATCAGGGTAAAGAAAAGAGAAAGAGGAGGAAAAAAATACTACTATGAATGTAACTTCTCTAGAGTTTATTTGGTCATGGGTATATGAATTTATTTTATAAGTTACTATTTGACAAGGAGATTTTTGGATAGATTTGTTTAAATGTAGCCATTTTGTTGTTATACCCTAGTTGCCAGTCCCATTGAACCTCCTTCCTTACTCCCACTCTTTTTTTGGTGGGATAGTGATAAATAACTTTATACATAGACTTGTACCATTCTGTTTCAAATTGACCAGTTTCTGCCCAGAGATCATTGATTTTATGTTCCCCACAGTTTAGTTTACATTTCTGAAAATATTGCAAGATTGTAGAATGTTCATTTTGGAATCTGTTTTCATTGGGTTATTTTTCTTCCCTACCTTTATTTAGGCTTCTAATTAGTTTGTTACTCTGGTTTGCATTTCTTCGTGAGGATGATAATTGATGATCCTAGGTAGCTTATTCAAGTAGTTCCTTAGTGACCCATAATGATCATTGAGGAAAGTTTAAGGGAAATGACGTCTTATTATCCAGGCATTATTTATTTATTACCTTGTCTCTACTCTTTTACTTTCAGTGATGCACCATGCCAATTGTTGATAAGCTAAAGGAAGCTCTGAAACCTGGTCGAAAGGATTCAGCAGATGATGGCGATCTGGGGAAGCTCTTGGCTTCTTCTGCCAAAAAGGTCCTTCTACAGAAGATAGAGTTTGAGCCTGCGAGCAAGAGCTTCTCTTACCAGTTGGAGTCCTTAAAGAGCAAATATGTGCTGTTGAACCCCAAAACAGAGGGTGCCAGTCGCCACAAGAGTTGTGAAGAGGCACAGATCAGGAGACGGGGTAAGTAGTATATTTGGGAGCAGAGTATAGGTCAGAGAAAGATGGATTTGAATAAGGTCTTTCTATCACGGTTCAGTAGAAATAATTGTATAGTACTTGCCAAAAGGGAAGATGAAGAGATAGAAGTTTAGGTTTCTCAGAACCCCTACACTTGTAAAGTAGGTGGTTTTTAGTTAGTTTGCTTTTTTTTTTTTTTGGTAGTCTAGATAAGATGTATCACTTCAGAGGCATCGTTTCAGAGGATTTTCTTGTGATTCTGTATATGTATGTCAGTCATTTCCTCTTCTTCCCATTGCTTTTTCAGGCAGTGATCATGGATTTGAAAGTTATAGTGATGGTGTTCCAGCCCCACAGAAAGTTCTCTTCCCTATGGATCGGCTATCTTTGAAGTGGGAGCGAATTTACCGAGTTGGAGCAGGTCTCCATAACCTAGGCAACACCTGCTTCTTGAACTCCACCATACAGTGTTTGACCTACACACCCCCTTTAGCCAACTACTTGATCTCCAAGGAACACACTCGGAACTGTGAGTATAATTTTGTGGCATAAAAATGACTTTTTTCTGAATTTGATAATGTAGCTACATCGAGGTCTTAGCTCTGTGATTATGTGTTTGCAATATGGCAGTGATCCATCTGGCCAGAATCAGTATTTAGATTAACTAGAATTTATCCTTGAACATAAGTACTTTTATTTTGTGAAATCCAGAAAATATTTAGTAAAGCAAATTAAATCCCATTATCTTTTTGTTTATACTTTCTTTGCACAAACTGTTACTTGTTCTATATGAGAATGACTGTTCATCTGAAAATCAGTCAATAGCATTAGGAAGATGCTTAGCAGATTAACTCATATAATGTTTTATAGTAAATTGAGGGCTTTTTTTTTCACCTAGAGTTTAATATTTGAGAAAAGGAGTTGTGCTTTTTTTTTTTTTAAGTTGACCTCTTTAATTTAGGTTTGTGCTCTGTTTATAGGATTTTGAGAAACTGGTCTAAGTAGGTTAAAAGTGTTGAAGGCCAATTTTGAAATCTTTGTTATAGAGCTTATATTCTGTGTCTTATGTCCAGAGTTAGTTGAAAGGATGAATAGAATGCTGTATTGCATTTGGAGTTTTAAGACCTCAGTAGACCTGTAGTTGCCCATAGTAATGAGGAGTTTACTGAGAAGTATCAGGCAAGATACTTCATGAAGTTGTCTCAGTGTGAATAGTGATCAATAAGTCCTGATCTATTATAATCAAGTAAAGTGAAATTAAGAGATAGAGAACAAATATTTTTTATCGGCTTATACTTTATTTTTTTTTAAGTTTTTTAATTTTGAGTTCCAAATTCTCTCCCTCTAGCCCCTCCCTCACCCTTTGAGAAACCAAGTAATATGGTACCCATTATACATGTCAAGTCATCCAAAACATATTTGTATATTAGCCATCTTGCCAAAAAAAAAAAAAGGCAAGAAAAATAAAGAAGGTGATAAACAATATGCTTCAACCTGCACTTTGAATTTATTAGTTCTCTCTCTGGAGGTAGATAGCATTTTTCATCATAAGTTTTTTGGAATTGTCTTTTGGATCACTGTATTGATCAGAGTAGCTAAGTCTTTCACAGTTGATTATGCTTACAATATTGCTGTTCCTGTGTACAATGTTCTCTTGGTTCTGCTTACTTTATTTGAAACCATCCCCCTAGTTATTTCTTATAGAACAGTAGTATTCCATCATGACAACACAAGTTTTTCAGCCATTCTCCGGTTGATGAGTATCCTCTCAATTTGTAATTCTTTGCCACCACGAAAAGAGCTGCTATAGATATTTATGTACATGTAGATCCTTTTCCTTTGCTTTCTTTGGGATACAGAACTAATAGCAATATTGTTGGATCACAGAGTATGTGCAGTTTTATAGTCCTTTCAAATTGTTCTCCACAATGGTTGGACCAGTTCACAACTCTACCAATAGTACATTAGTGTACCTGTTTTTTCATATCCCTTCCAAGCAGAGAACAAATATTTTTCTAAGCTTAATTTTGTTTAGAGCTATTTTTTTACAGGTATTTGGAGGGGTTTGGGGGAGAGCTCAAGTAAGTCACTGCTTTCACTCTACCATCATGGCTTCGCCCTCTAAGCTTAATTTTGAAAATGACTAGGACCTGATACAAACAATAAACTTAAAAAAAAAATGCTACAGTGTAAGAGTACTAGAATCAGGGTTTTCATTAGCCCTAATGTCTGTTTAACACAAAATGGGCTTCTTTGTGTAGAGATCATTGATTCTAACCTTATAGTTGTCTTAGTTCTCAGTATTCTCTTTGAGATTTCAGTTGCTTGCTACCTCAATCTTTTGTCATTTATCATAGGATCATCATAGATTCTGTTGGAGACTAGTCAGCAATCTCTTTTTCTCTTTCATATTTGCAGGTCACCAAGGAGGTTTTTGTATGTTATGTGTTATGCAGAATCACATGATCCAGGCCTTTGCCAACAGTGGCAATGCTATCAAGCCAGTCTCCTTTATCCGAGACCTGAAAAGTAAGAATCGAGTAATATGAACAAATATTTATTTAGATCTAATTGCCTAGAACTATGCTGGATACTGTGGGGAATGTGTAAGATTTATAAGAAATAGGAACTATCCTCAGGAAACTCATGTTCTTGTTGGAAAAACAAGACTTGTTCATATCAAACAATTAGAAAACAACCATGTATAAAACACTAAATTTTGTGACAGGCAATAAATTGCAAAGATTGCAGAGATGGAAGGGGCTATTAGAGCTTAGAGTCTTTGGGGGAGACTTAATAAGTCATATAATATTTGAACTAGAGTTTCTGAGAGATCACCTCGTCTAGCTTCTTTACTTTACAGATGAGGAAACTGAGACCTGGAGGGGTAAAATTACTTCCTCAAGGTCACAGAGCTAGTTAAGTAGCAGGGCTGTATATAGAGATTTTTCCCTAGTCCAGTGTTCTTTCTATTATACCATGCTGCCTTCTCTTTGAATAGGGACAACAGCATAAAGGCATGGAGCATGCCTATAGGTGTAAACCCACTTCCAGTCATTAGCTATGGCCATTTGTCATTGCTTTGTACTGAGTTACCCTCTATCTCTGCCATAAGCAGTGGACAGGTTGGTTATTGGAAAAAAATGCAATGCCATAGAAAAATTGCTTTTTTTGCTTTGTACTGACTCTTCTGAAGATTAAGTAAGTCAGTAGACTAAATGTTCTTAGTTCCTGTTTAGCTTTGTGCAATATCTACTTTTCCCTGAAGTATTAAGAATTAGCCCCTATTGAAGCTTTGTACTTTGAATATTTAAGTAATGTTGAGGAAAACAGGGAATAGAGTGGTTGTTTGAAAGGTAAAATTTCAACCTCTTGCCCACTTGGCTGAGTTTTTTTCTTTCCTACTCTCTCCCTCCATAGAAATTGCTCGGCACTTCCGATTTGGAAACCAGGAAGATGCACATGAATTTCTTCGGTACATTATTGATGCTATGCAAAAGGCCTGCTTGAATGGCTATACAAAGTATGTACTTGCTTTCTTCACTTTCTGGTCGAGAATTTGGAAGCTGATTGCACTCTGCCTCAGCCACAAATAGAGATGGTTACATGCTGGATTTTACCATCGCCCAGAAATGTTCTATTTCTTGAATTAAAATCTCTGACGTTCCTCTCTCCAACCATAACTTCTCATCATTCCATGTCTCCTTAGGCCTCATCCTTCTTAAACAAGTTATTCTCCCCCACCCCGTTACCCCCTTTTAATCCTCTATTGCTTTCCTCTTCCCCACAGTACTTTCTTAAGCTATTACCCTTGGTTTGACTCAACTTGGCCTCTCTCTTAATCTTGACCCTGCAGTTAGCTAATAGCCAATTTAACTCCCCACTGTTCTCTGTTCTCTACTTTCCAGTCCTTTGTTCCCTTATCCTGTTGCTGCTTATCCCTTGCTAAACCTTAGCTCTAGACTACCCACCACTGAACTTGTCTGCTCCTACTTACATGTTGCTGCATGGAACTGGAGGAAGTTACATAATTGTGTGGACTAGGTATTTATAAAGTCATGTTCAACTTCAACTGGGTCCTCCCTGCAGCAAGGTATTCATATTTCTTCTTTAATTGATTCCCTGTCTTACTTCCCACAAAATCTTTTCTAAACCTCTCTTCAGACCTCCCACACGTCTCCCTTCCCCTACTATCTCAGATGAGGAACTAGCCTCTTACTTTATTGAGAAAATTGAGCCCATTCAAGAGGAGCTTCTTTTCTCTTTCTCTTCAACTCAAAACCCTTTGACATCATCTTTTCCTATTCTCTCCTTTTCTACAGTTTTTAGCAGTATGATGACCCTTCTCATTACCGAGGTCAGCCCCTCTATATATGCTCTGGATCCTATCCCCTCACATCTTTTTTTTTCTTTGCCCTCAAAAAGCTTACATTTTTTAAAATTAATTATTTTTTTAGTTTTCAACATTCACTTCCACAAGATTTTGAGTTCCAAATTTTCTCCTCATCTCTCCCTCCCCCCCCAAGACAGCATGCATTCTGAATACCCCTCCCCCAGTCTACCCTCCCTTCTGTCACCCACCCTTCTCCTTCTCATTCTCTTATTCCCTTCCCCTTCTATTTTCCTGTAGGTCAGGATAGATTTCTATACCCCATTGTCTGTATGTCTTATTTCCCAATTGCTTATAAAAGCAATTTTTAACATTTTTTTTTTAAAACTTTTGAGTTCCAAATTCTTTCCCTTCCTCCCTCCCCACCCACCCTCAATGAGAAGGCAAGATATTTGATAGAGGTTATACATGTGTAGTCATGCAAAACATTTCCATAATAGTCATGTTGTGAAAGACTATATTTCCCTCCATCCTATCCCACCCCCCCCATTTATTCTATTCTTTCCTTTCACCCTGTCCCTTCTCAAAAGTGTTTGTTTCTGATAACCCCCTCCCTCAACCTGCCCTCCCTTCTATCATCCCCCCTCCTCTTATGCCCTTCCTCCCTATTTTTTGTAGGGTAAGATAGATTTCCATACCCAGTTGAGTATGTATATTATTCCCTCCTTAAGCCAGATCTGATGAGTGTAAGATTTACTCATTCCATCTCACCTCCCCCATCTTCCCCTCCACTGTAAAAGCTTTTTCTTACCTCTTTTATGTGAGATAATTTACCGCATTCTACCTCTCCCTTTCTCCTTCTCCCAGTATATTACTCTCTCGCCCCTTAATTTTACTTTTTAGATATCAGGCATCCCTTCATATTGAACTCACCCTTGCCCTCTGCCCTCTGTCAATATATATATTTATGTATATATACAGACATACATATGTCTGTATATATACAGATATATAGATATAGATAGATATAGAAAGAGATATACATAGATAGATATAGCTAGATATAGATATATAGATATATATTCTCTCCAACGACCCTAATACTGAGAAAGGTCTCATGAGTTACAAATATATCTTTCCATGTAGGAATGTAAACTGTTCCACTTTAATAAGTCCCTCATGATTTCTCTTTCCTGTTTACCTTTTCATTCTTCTCTTGAATCTTATATTTGAAAGTCAGATTTTCTATTTAGCTCTGGTCTTTTCATCAGGAATGCTTGAAATCCTCTATTTCATTGGATGTCCATTTTTTCCCCTGGAGGATTATACTCAGTTTTGCTGGGGAGGTGATTCTTGGTTTTATTCCTAGCTCCTTTGACCTCTATATTTGACCTCCTTTGACTATCATATTCCAAGCCCTCTGATCCCTTAATGTAGAAGCTGCTAAATCTTGTGTTATCCTGATTGTGTTTCCACAATACTTGAATTGTTTCTTTCTGGCTGCTTGCAATATTTTCTCCTTGATCTGGAATTTGGCTGTAATATTCCTGGGAGTTTTCCTTTTGGAATCTCTTTCAGGAGGTGATTGGTGGATTCTTTGAATTTCTATTTTACCCTCTGTTTCTAGAATATCAGGGCAGTTTTTTCTGATAATTCCTTGAAAGATGATGTCTAGGCTCTTTTTATGATCACAGCTTTCAGGTAGTCCAGTAATTTTCCTTTCAAGTAGTCCAGTAATTTTCTCTCCTGGATCTATTTTCCTGGTCATTTGTTTTTCCAATGAGAAATTTCACATTGTCTTCTATTTTTTCATTCTTTTGGTTTTGTTTTATAATTTCTTATAGAGTCATTGGCTTCCATTTGCTCCATTCTAATTTTTAAGGAATTATTTTCCTCAGTGAGCTTTTGGACCTCCTTTTCCATTTGGCCAATTCTGCTTTTTAAGGCATTCTTCTCCTCGTTGGCCTTTTGGACCTCTTTTGCCATTTGAATTAGTCTATTTTTTTAAGGTGTTACTTTCTTCAGTATTTTTTTTTGTTTGTTTTAGGCAATTGAGGTTAAGTAACTTGCCCAGGGTCACACAGCTAGTGTCAAGCGTCTGGTCTGAGGCCGGATTTGAACTCAGGTCCTCCTGACTCCAGGGCTGTACTCTATTCACTGTGCCATCTAGCTGCCCTTGTATTTTTTGGGGGGGGGGGTCTCCTTTAGCAAGCTGTTGACTCCTTTTTCATAATTTTCTTGCATCACTCTCAATTCTTTTCCCAATTTTTCCTTTACTTCTCTTGCTTTTCAAATTCCTTTTTGAGCTCTTCCATGGCCTGAGACCAATTCATATTTTTCTTAGAGACTTTGGATGTAGGAGCTTTGACTTTGTTGTCTTCTTCTGATTGTATGTTTTGATCTTCTTTGTCACCAAAGTAAGATTCTATAGTCTTGAACTTTTTTTCCTGCTGTTTGCTCATGTTCCCAGCCAATTACTTGACTTTTTAACTCTTTGTTAAGATAGTGGTCTGCTTCCAGTGTGGAGGGTGTACCATCCCAAGCTTTAGGGGTTTTGTGCAGCTGTTTTCAGAGGTACTTCTAGAGACCTGTAGATTTTCAGTTCTTCCAAGGTGGTAAGATCAAAGAAGAGGTGTTTACTCCTTTCCTGGCCTGTACTCTGGTCAGTGAGTGACCACAGGCACTGTTTTCTGCCTTGGAACTGTGAGAAGGATTCCTTCTCTACTGCTGCTACAAGCTGCACCAAGCCAGCACTCCTCTTCACCCTAGGACCATGACCCAGATGCAAGCACGGGCAAAGCAAGAGAATCCTGTCCCAGCATCAGCAAATAGATCCCTGCAACCCCCTTCTGGTCAGCCACTCGATTGCCCCCACTGTCTATGGGCCGAAAGCTCTGGAAGCAGCTGCTGCCACTATGGCCACTACCCCCAGGCTGCACTAGGGCCAGGATTGTACTGCGCTCCTCTCTCACCCAGGTCTGACAGACATTTCTCACTAACCATCTAAGTTGTCTTTGGCTTTTGAGGGTTGAGAAGTCTGGAAACTGCTACAGCTGTTAATGATTCAATCCCCTGAAGCCTGCTCTGGGTTTGCTGGGTCCCCATCTTTGCTGATGTGGCCCATGTTGAACTGGTGTACTCCTCTCCCAACCAGACACAGCAGATCTTTCCCATCAACCATCCAGGTTGTCTTGGGCTGGAAATTTGTTTCACTCTGTCTTTTTGTGGGTTGTGCTGCTCTAGAATTTGTTTGGAGCCATTTTTTACAAGTATTTGGAGGGGTTTGGAGGAGGGCTCAAGCAAGTCACTGCTTTTACTTGGCCATCTTGGCTCTGCCCCCATCCCCTCACATCTTCACCAGCATATTGTAACTTTAGCCATCAATTTCTCCCTATCTGCTTGTTCTTTCTAAATTGCCTTCACATATACCCAAGTCTTTCTCATCCTTTAAAAAAAACTTTTCACCAGACCTTTCCCTCCCCACTATTTCTCCTGCCTTTCTTAGCTGAATTCCTAGAAAATGCTGTCTATACTCAAATATGTCCATTTCCTCTGCTGTCAATCTCAGCCCTTTGCATTCTGGTCCCCAGCCCTATTGCTCAACTGAATTTGCTCTTCTGGAGTTACTAATGATATCTAATTGTTAATTCTAATTGCCTTTATTCAGATATTCAGTACTGTTATTCAGTATTGTTGACCACACTCTTCTCTTGAATAATCTTTTCTCTCTAGGTTTTTTGATATTACTGGTGTCATCTACCTATCTTGGTCTCCTTCTCCCTAACTCTGTGTGTTTCTCAAATTTCTGTCCTAGGCCCACTATTCTTTTCAACATTCTCTTGGTGACCTCATCAGCTTCCATAAGTTTAACTATCATCTCTATGCAGATGACTTCTTGATCTATATATCTTACTCTAGTTTCTCCCCTGAGCTTCAGTCTCACATTGCCAATTGCCTACTAGACATTTCAAACAGGATGTCCCAAAGATAATCTTAAACTTAACATGTCCAAAAGTGAATTCATTATTTTTCCCCCTAAACCCACCCTTCTTCCAAATTTCTCTTTTTCTGCAAAAGCACCACCATCCTCCAGCATTCTAGATTCATAATTTTGGTGTTATCCTCACCTTCTTTCTCCAAATATCAATTGCAAAATCCAGATGTTTTCTATGTCTTCACCATTTCTCATTCAGCCCCTTTTCTCTACTCACACAGCTACCTTTGTTCAGGCCCTGGCTTATTGCAATAGCCTCCTGATTGGTCTTCCTGCCTGAAGTTTCTCTGCACTCTGCTGCTTCTTCCACAAAGTTCCAAAGTCATTTTCCTTACAGATCTAACTACATCACTTTCCTATTAGTAAACTATGGGGGCTTTCTTTTGCCTCTAGAATCAAATATAACTTCCTCTATTTGGCATTTAAAGCTTTTAACAACCTCGTGCCAGTTTGTCTTTCCAGGCTCGTTATACCTCACACCCCCTCTTGTACTCTGTGATCCAGTCATATTTCCTTACACATGACCCTCCAGCTCCTGACTTTGTGACTTTATACCAGCTGTTCCCCGTGCCTGGGGTACATGCCTTCCTCTCTTCTGCTTCATAGTGTTCTTCTTTTCCTTTGGTTACAGATACAGCCTAAGTACCTCTACCTACATGAAATCTTTTTTTTTTTTAATTTGTTTTGATTTTGTGTGTGTGTGCGTGTGTGTGTGTGTGTGTTAGGCAATTGGGGTTAAGTGACTTGCCCAGGGTCACACAGCTAGTAAGTGTTAAGTGTTTGGTCTGAGGCTGGATTTCATGAAATCTTTCTTGATCCCCTTAACCGCTAGTGCCTTCTCCCTGAAATTATCTTGTATTTAACTACTCTTTAATTTATTTGTATTTAATTCTTTTTATATTTATTCTGTACATACACATTTATACATACTTGTCTTCCCCATTAGAATGTAAGCTTCTTGGGAATAGGGATAATTTCATTTACCACATTTGTATCCTTAGAGCTTAGCACAGTGTCTGGCACAGAGTAGTAGGTGTTTAGCAAGTAGATGCTTGTTGATTAATTACTTTGAAGGGAACATAAATTTGTGGTATTTAGAAAGGTGTTTTTGTAGTCGGTACCTTTATTACTATATAGATTTCAGTCATTTTATATTTCTCAGACTGTTTGAAGCCTGAATCCAAAGGATCTTCAACATTCTCCAAAGAAAGACGGATCTATAGCCTCTGTTGGGGCAACAGTTGTTCAGTACTCACCTTATAGAGCTGAAAAATTAGGAATGTTATTCATGGTGTTTCCAAGGTGAAGGAAATTTATCTCTGCAGCTTGATTCAGAAAGCTTTAGCATACAATACTATTTTGAAATCTAGATTTGTTTGTCAATTTTTTTTCCTACCTTTGTTTGCCTCTTGCCAGTGATTCATTGTTTTGAGCCCTTTTAAATTCTGTTTTGTAGTAAGACTCTTGAGTTCCTACCAGACTTGTTATGGAGGAAAAACTATAAAGGGGCTTATGAGAAAGAACTTCATATCTACAGAAAATTGGGATCAAAAGTCTGACATTTAAATGATACAACTTTGTTCTTTGACCCTGTTCCTTTTTTGTTTAAATACTCTTAGATTTGGCAATGTAAAATGAATAATTATGAATTCTGTGCCAGGGTCATCTGTGCAAGGCAGGAAAAATTCTGTTTAAAAGTATAGTTTTGGGGGTATTTAGCTATTTTTAATAAATTAGCCATCTTTTCTAAGGTGAGTTTGGAGAGGGGGTAAGTTAAGAAAAGGCCTTCAGAGTAAAGTAAATAACACCCTAAAGTAATAACAGCCATGTACATTGTGTTCAATTAGTCAATTGATAGACATTTATTAAGTGTCTGTTATGTGTCAGGTACTGTGCTAAGCACTGTAAATAATTATGAAAATATGAATAAAGAAAGACAGCCTTTGCCCTCAAGGAGAATACAATCTAATGGGGAGATCACAAACAAAAGGAAGCTGGAAAACTCCTGTGTTCATAGGAAAGAGAGAATAAGTATGGTATAGTGTGAATAGAGAGTTGGTCTTTGAGTCAGAAAGACCTGGAGTCAATTCTTACCTTTCATATGTATTAATTTAGTGATTCTGAGCAAGTCACTTAACCTATCAGTGCCCTGGGCAATTCTTGTTTTTAAGGCTGCATTATAGTTGCTGATCTGCATTGATAGAGTTTTCCTCTCTGGGAATTCTCTGTACTGGGAAAAAAAAAAATCTCAAGTCCAGTTGAAAAGTTCTTAAGTACCTTAAATATTTGTGGCAACAAATCTAATTGCTATTTATGAAGGTAATCTGAGTAATGACTCATTTTAAGTGTGGGGAAATGTTGGTTATCAGTGGAAACAAATTAATATTGTTCACTTCTGCATGAAAGGCAATGTCTTGGGGGTTAAAGTATTTTGCCTTAGTGAAGTAAGGTGACCTGGTTTGTCATACACTCTCCCTCTTGTCATGAGAACATTTTAAGGGACTTAAGACAATCTACCCACGATGCAAATTCTAGCTGTTTTGGAGTGGTGTGTTATCCAGTTATATACTGATCTTGAAGTCTCCTATCAGTGGGTCATATCATATGCTGTTGTCTGTTTTGTAGATTGGATCGCCAGACACAGGCAACTACTTTGGTCCATCAGATTTTTGGAGGTTACCTCAGATCTCGTGGTGAGTAGAGACTTTTTATTCCTATTTTCTTTGCTAGAGGTTGTAGTAGTAACCAAAGGAATCCAAAAAATCCTTACTGTTTCTTATCATTTCTTAAAACAATATAAATCATAAAACTTTAGCTGGAAGACAGTGGACCTCCAGGATGTCTTGTTTATTAGCAGTAAAGAAAGCTATTGGTTATTGGAGAAAAAGATTCCATTACCCTACTAAGGCACTCAGTTGCTCTGGAGATTCCATTACCCTACTAAGGCACTCAGTTGCTCTGGGGTGCTTTTGGTTGGTTCTCTGTCTTTGTCCTTGAATGATATGTTCCAAATGAGATCTCTTACCAATGTAAAGACACTTGCAAAGCTATTTTTATCATAATCTCTTGTTAACATTGTCATAGAGTTTTGAAAGATAAATGAAGCTTGAAGCATAGTAAGCTTTGGGAAAAATGAGAAAGAATCTATATCAGTTACAATTAGCTGCATTGCTGCTTGACTAATTGCTCTGTGTTTTATTGCAGTGAAGTGTTCAGTATGTAAGAGCGTCTCTGATACCTATGACCCCTATTTGGATGTTGCACTGGAGATCAGGGTACAAAATTATAATATGTCACTTACATGACTGGGTTGGGAAAGTGGGAATTTTAATTTTTTAAAAAGATCTAGATGGGAAGTGAGAAATGTGTTGCTTTGGTGGGGAGGTTTGTTGACAGCTTTTCACAAAAATTTTGGGGATATTGTAAGTTTTCCTTTTTATAAAGACATTCTTTGCTGTATTGCAACTTTTGTGTTGTGGTAGAGAAGCTGTTATCTAGTTTTCAATAGGATAATCTATAATTTAGAGGAAACCTGAAACCTTTAGGAGGAAAAATAGTTGACAGTAGTCTTGACAATCCTGTTAACTGACTCAAGAATGTGTGTGTGTGTGTCTGTGTGTGTAAAATCATTATTAGAGTTCTGTGACAGATGGAATCTGAAACGACTGAGGAAACAAAGGTTCAAGCTTCTGAGTGTATCGATTTATTAAGCAATGCGTGCGAATTGCATAACAAATTGGGACTAGGCCATCTTCAACTTGGTACTGGACCCCAAATACAGGGAGAGACAGATTTTTTAAATGCATTAAAAACAATCAAATAAATAACAAATTAATTAAATAATAATTAATAATAATTAACAAATTAGTTAAAAGAAAAATTAACAGGATACAAACCAAGATACAAAATTTGGTAATTTGATTTCTTATTGGAGAAAAGATTAAGGACTTTTCAAGTAGAGAGGGAGAGAGCTAACAGGTACATTTACTGAAATCAGAAAAAGTGGCATCCCATTCCCTCCCAAGTGATAGTATTCAGTCAGAGGAACATGGAAACAATAACTGATTAACCAATACAGAGCCAGTTTTTTTTGTTTGTATGTTTTTGTTTTTGTTTTTTTCCCTAGACAATGGGGTTAAGTGACTTGCCCAGGGTCACACTGCTAGTAAGTGTTACATGTATGAGGCCGGATTTGAACTCAGGTCCTCTTGACTCCAGGGCCGGTGCTCTATCCCCTGTGCCACCTAGCTGCCCCAAAAGAGCCAGTTTTAAGATGAGACATATGGGTTGCTTGAGATGTGAGAAAACTCCTTGCATTAATCTTTGGATCTGACTGGGTTTGTGGTCAGCATAACCTAGATTAAACATGTCCTTAGTTAAGTATCTCTAAGCAATAGATAGAGGTGGTCCAGCTTCCCAGCCATGCAGGGCTAGATTCAAACAATGCAATAAAGGTTTCTCACAATTCTCATAATTTAATAAAGTTTTCTCACGAGACAGAAATTGGGCTAGATCCATAACTGAATAGAAAGGGAACTGAGCTAGATCCAGAATTGAACCACAAGATGGAGTCAGTGCTATTTACTGTATTCCCACAACTCCCTCAGTTCACAGAACAGGTAACAATATTGATCTACTGTCTCTCCTGATGCTTGCCATTTGACCTTGTTAGACTGGAATTTCAAGACTCAGATTCTCATATAATATAACATGAATGTTTAACTTAGAAACTTTAAAAAGTTTTAATTTTGGTATTTCTTGTGTGTGTGTATATATATATATATATACATATATAAGATCTTTCTTGTACTCTCTTTTCTTGCCACTTGTCTTTTACAGCAAGCTGCAAATATTGTACGTGCCCTGGAGCTGTTTGTAAAACCAGATGTCTTGAGTGGAGAGAATGCTTACATGTGTGCTAAGTAAATCAGCTTTTGGTTCTTTCTCTGGAGTATTTTGAGAGTTTGTCATGTCTCCTGGATATTTCTTAATGCTGTAATATTCTTTTAATTCTACTTGCCAAGATGGTTTTCCTCACCAAAATCATTTTCTTATTATCCTGTGAAGCATATTTACTATCCTTTTCTTCTTCCTTCTTATTGAATATGTAGATAATTACTTTATAAATTTCATGTGGATAGGAAAGGAGTCATATAGACTAGTATTAATTGATGTTCTTTTGGTTATCTTTTTTCAGTATCAAAAAGGCCCAGCATTTTTCTATACATTTGGTATCTTCCCCAAGTTTTCATGCCTTTTGAATCAGTCCCCCAATTTATAGTCTTAGAGAACTGCCAAGAAGACTGAGAGGTTAAGTGACTTGCTCTCTCTCCATTATGTCAGGCTGCAGGGAAGGGAGTGGGTAGAGGGAGAGTGGTAAGGATTTTACCTTTCAATCCAAAGGATAAGGGGAGCAGGAGAGTGGGAGTTCACCACCTTTGGATTGTTAGGGGAGGTAGAAGGAGAGGGAATAATCAATTGATTTAGGGTACTAAGACAACTGGGCATGATGTCTGATAGAGAGGTGGAGGAGAAAAGTAGGCAGTTAATAGAGATTCCTATTCCCTGGGCTTAATTTTTGGCTTCCTGACCTCTGGGCTGAATTCACACTCAATGGAAGGCTAAGCTCTTCCCTAGGAGCGCCTGTAGTGCCCTAAGACCTCTAGAATCAAATATAAACTCCGTTGTTTGGTATTTAAAGGTTTTTGTAACCTGGGCCCCTTCCTACTTTCCACTCATAAATATATCTTACTTCCCTGCACATTCTATGGTCCACTTAGGCTGGCCTGCTTGTAGTTCCTCAAACGGCACTCCATCTGCCATCTCTATCTCCCATTCCTGGAATGCTTTGCCCCCTCACTTCTGCCTTTTTATTTTCCTTGGTTTCTTTCAAAAGTCAGCTCAAATCCCCCCTTTTTTCAGGAGGCCTCTTCCAGTCTCCCCCTACCGCCACCCATCCTTTTCCACTGCTGGTCCTACCTCTCCCTTCATCCCCCCTAGCAAATAGTGACTTCCCATTTCAGATATGTACCTAGTTGTTTACATATTGTCTCCCTCATTAGATTTTATTTCCATTGAGAGCAAGGACTGTATTTTTTCCCTTCTTTGTATCCCCCAGCCTAGCACCTTTTATACATAGTAAGTGCTTAATAAATGTTTGTTGACTGACTAACTCTATATGGTAGGGTAGATCATGGTAGCTATGGTATTTATACCTCTTTTCTCAAGGAGTTCAGTATGTTCACTATCTTGTTTTCCTCCTTAACGCCTGCATTTATATGAAAAGACTTCAACATTTATGTTGATGTTCCCTTAAACTCCCTGAACTAGTTCCTCAATCTTCTAATTCCATAACTTAGTCTAGTAGGTAATTTTGTTGATTAAAAACTGTCTCCTGTTTCTAAACATAATCTATCATTCCATCTTTCCCCAAACCTTACCCCTCCTAAACTCAGGACCCCTCTGAGCCCTTTACTCCTTAGTACTTTCTCAGGCCATTACTCTTACTATGATTTTGCTTTCCCTTTCAAATCTCTGCTCTGTAGTTAACCAGTTGGACTCCAGAGTATCCTCTACTTCGGACAGGTAGGTGGTACAGTGGATAGAGCACTGGCCCTGAAGTCAGGAGGACCTGAGTTCAGATCCAGCCTCAGACCAAACATTTGACACTTACTAGCTGTACAACCCTGGGCAAGCCACTTAACCCCGATTGCCTAACCCAAAAAAAAAAAAAGACCAAAAAAACAAAACAGAGTATCCTCTACTAAAATCCTTGGCCCACTTTGCCCCTTCCCATACCCCAACCCTATATTATTCTGCTCCTACTCCTGGACTCCTGTCTCAAGCTGAAAGAAGTCATATACCTGTGCTAATAAATACTCATTTATATTAACCAACTTCATTTATATTAACTGAGGCCTCACTGCACAGGGCAATTTTTATATTCCTATGCAATTGATTCCCTAGCTCATGCCCATTCTAAACCTCTCTTTAACTTCCCTCACTGAATCCAGCTCCTCCCAACCCCCATCTCACCTTCTTGAATAAAGACCTAACCCCTAATTATTTGTCCATAGCTCTCTTATTTCCTTCTCTTTATCCACAATTCCTTTAATATCACCCATCGTTTCTTCTCTCTAGTCGTCTTGCCAAGACCATCCTATCTACATGTGCCCTTTCTTCCATCCCATCCTGTCTTCTCCAGCAGATTGCCTCCCCAGTCATCACTTCTCTCTGTCTACTGATTACTTCCCTATTGCCTTGAAACAAACTCAAGTCATCCCCCATAGTGAGGGCAGTGGGGGAGAGAAGATGAGGAAGGAAGGGGAAGATCGGGAGCATGAGCTGACCAGGACCCTTTAGATTCTACTAGTTTCATCTTCATCTCCTTTACCTGTTTGTGTATTTGATGGTATTGACCATCCTTCCATTCTGGATGTGTTCTAGGTGACTTCATCAGTTTCCATGGATTTAATTATCCCTCTATACATGTGACTCACAGTTTATATATTAAGCCCCATTTTCTCCTCTTTGCTTCAGTAATGCATCTCCAGCTGCATATTGGACATTTCAAACTAGATGTTACATCTCAATCTTAACATGTCCAAAACTAAGCTCATCCACCCAGATTCACCCCTCTTCCAAACTTCCCTACTCTATCATTCTTCCAGTCTCTCAGATTCATAACTTTGGAGTTGTCCTCTACTTTTCATTCTTACTCATTCCTTATATCCCATCAATGACCAAATCTCACTTTTTCTACCTCTGCCACATCATATATCCAACTCTGTCTTTCTAATCATACAACTACCACCTCCATTCAGGCATTCATTATCTCTTGCCAAGGCATTTGCAGTGGTATCCTAATTTATTTCCTTGCCTTAAGTCTTTTCTCCACTTCAGTCCATCTTCTGCACTGCTGCTGAAGTGTTTTTCCTTAAGCATACACCAGATGTTGTCACTTTCTTATTTAGTTAACTTAAATGGAATAGGTGGTATAGTGGATAGAGTACCTCACCTGGAGTCAGGAACACTTATCTTCCTGAGTTCAAATCTGGACTCAGACACTTAATTAGCTGTGTGACTGCGAGTCACTTAATCCTGTTTTCCTCAGTTTCCTCATCTGTAAAATGAGCATAAGAAGGAAATGGCAAACCACTCCAGTATCTTTGTCAAGAAAACCTCAAATGGGGTCACAGAGTTAGACATGACTGAAAAATGACTGAACAACAACAAACTTAAATGACTCCCTGTTGCCCCTAGTCAAAAATATAAACTGCTCTTTTAAAGCCCTTTACGACCTGGCCCCAACCTATCTTTCCTGCCTTGTTACATATTGTATATTACTTGCCTTCCCATACTCTTGCCAGACTCCAGTTTTTTGGTAGCAAGGTAGGGGACTGTAGATGCAAAATGTTGCATATGTGCTATCAGATGTTGGTTGGTTTTGCTTAACTTTTTCTTTGTTACTAAGAACAAAGTGGGGCTGGAGGGAGGAGCTATATATCAGGAAATGACAGTGATACGTAAACAGCATCAATAAAACTTGCTGAGTGTGGTGGGTAAGGATTTTATTTTAACTCCATGGATTGCACTATGTTTAATAAATAACCTCCAATTCCTTATGTGATGATAAACTGTCCAAAAGCAAAGGATGGCTTTGTGGCGATTTGCCCTTTGTTAGGCAAACATTTCATATCCTCTTTACTTGTGTATCACTTCCAAATCACTTAGATGAGAGAACATTTCTTTCTAGAGTATAATCTAATAGAAATCTATTTCCCCTGTAGATGCAAGAAAAAAGTGCCAGCCAGTAAGCGCTTCACAATTCATAGGACGTCTAATGTCTTAACCCTCTCCCTGAAGCGCTTTGCAAACTTCAGTGGGGGTAAGATCACCAAGGTGAGTTTCCTATCAAGAATTACTGGGTAGATACTAGAGTTTTGGAAGCCCTACTAGGTACCAACCATCTGCCTTTCCATTTGAAAAGCAGATACTAATGACAGATATTATGATTTTAGACGTATGTGCAGTAAAATTTCTTTTATGTAACTAAGTACCTGGTTGGGTAGCTACTGGCACAATGGAGAGAGTGCTGAGCCTGAGACTCATCTTCCTGAGTTCAAATTTGGCCTCAGATACTTACTAGCTATGTGACTCTAGGCAAGTCACTTAACCCTGTTTACCTCAGTTCTTCATCTGTAAAATGAGCTGAAGAAGGAAATGACCAACCATTCTAGTATCTTTGCCAAGAAAACCCCAAATGGGGTCATGGAGAGTCAGCCATGACTTAACAGCAACAACAACAACAAAGTACCTGGTTTCCAAATTAAGTCACTGAAGTTTTGAAATATTTTAATTTGATTTTTATATAATTATTTATTTTTTATTTTTGTGTTTTGAAATTCGTAAAATTTAAGGAAAATGTTGGTCATTATTCAGAGAACACTTTTTCCCTACAATATTCCTAGGATAAATTGCCAATTTTTGTTGACATATCCATTTTTTATCTCATTCTGCAGAAAGAAATTTTTTGTAGAATGACCTTAGTCCTGATTCTTTCTATAAAAATAGGATTTACTGGAGAAAGTTGGTATAGTAATCCATTTTATTTTAAATAGCTCAGATGAGCTATTATCTTCACAATATGTCTCTGGGATAGTAGAGAAAAACAAAGCTTATTCCCATTTTACTTTTCGGAAAAGATGTGGTGAGAACTGTTGCTTTATAACAGGACCAGAAATAAAATTGAAATTTGATGTAGTTACAAAATCACATCCTGAACTAAGGAAGAATTATTTTACTCTTTTAAGCTTCTTCCATAAGTTGCTACATGCCCAGTTGGATTTGAACTATTGAGTTATTGTCCATATAATATATTTGCTTTGTCAGGATAGAGATAAAAGAGAAAATAACCTTTTGTCTTGATTTGAATTATAATTTCTATTTTCTTTTGTAACAGGATGTGGGATATCCAGAATTTCTCAATATACGCCCATATATGTCACAAAGTAATGGTGACCCTGTCATGTATGGATTATATGCTGTACTTGTCCATTCAGGCTATAGCTGCCATGCTGGACATTATTACTGTTATGTGAAGGTAAGTCTGTCTTTTTTTAGGTACAGCCAGTGTAATTGGTAATAGATTCTTTATAAATAAATAATTGACTTTTGGTGCAAGTGTACCAGTCTTTAGAGGTTGTGTAGCCCTGCTTTAACCTTTGTAAAACCTTTGTTTTAGGGAAAATAGGAAATCTTTCTAGCAAGTACCTAGCCCCACTTAGAACACAGAGGAAGCGAGTTACTTTTTTAAAAAATCTATTAGAATAGAGAAAGAATTGGGAAGGTAGTTGTTCTAATTGCGTGGGCTATAAAAGGCTTTGCCTGATAAATATTCAGAAGAATCTTAGCTTGTGGTAGAAGGTATGGAGATCAGCCTTTCATATCTCTTTGGAACAAAGAACCTGAGGAGTGATGAGATGTGAGAGAATTAGAAATTATTGTTAAACCTTTCGACCTAAAGGGTCGACATTTGAGGCCCACCTCTTTAAATTGTTAATATTTTCTGAACTTCTAGTTATATATAGGATTTTATTAGAGATTACAGATAGGAGTTTTTATTACTCAAAGTAGAGAAGGGAGTCTAACACTTTTAGTGATCTTTTTCCTTTTTTTCATTCATGACTTTAGGCTAGTAATGGGCAGTGGTACCAGATGAATGATTCTTTGGTCCATTCTAGTAATATCAAAGTGGTTCTGAACCAGCAAGCCTATGTTCTGTTCTATCTCAGGTAAGTCTTTTGATGTCTCTCTTTAGAACTTTCCTTTAGGTATGTCTAGGTCTTTCGATGGAAATTAATTAGAAATTCTCCAGGGAGGGTAGATATTTTAACAAAAATATTTCATTTGTAATATCCAAAAACATGCAATTTCAAACTGACTTCGGAAGTTCTACCATCGATCCCAGATGTGGAGAGTCTCCTGGGTACCAGTTAAGTGGGTGTTAGTTTTAGTTTGGCCTAGAACTTCAAGGGCCAATCCCAAATAGATATACCTTAGAATTTCCCTATATTCTAGGAGTATCCCTTTAAGGTAAGACTATGTCAGAATGTACCCTTTCAAAAATAAGCTAACTTGTTTCTGAGCTAAAACCAAAACATCACCTAGGGAATGTAAGAGCTTTTGCTCTGTGGCATGTAAGACCTAGAATTCTGAAATAATCCAGCTTCCTTTGTACTTCCTGTCTTTAAGGTATTGGGTGCCCGTTTGTATTTTGCCAAAGAAGGATATAGCTAACAAAATGATGGTGAATTGAAATCCTTAGCATCTAAATGTAGGATGCAACAGAGGTAGCTACATTGTAGGTTTTCTTCCCCGTGCCTTGTTACCGTGTCCCTGGAACATGGTCAGTAATCAGTCAGTTGCTCCCGAGTTAAAATGAGGCATTTTAGAATTATATTAACTGCTTTGGAACTCAACCAGTCAGAAAGTTATCACTTGAGAAAACAATCTTTACAGTTTGGTATGCTCAATTAGGCTCATATATTTGAGACTATACAAAGTCACATTGGTTTATAGGATAAGGTAAGATTTATCTAGTGATTATTCTCTTTATATGGGGCATTTAGCAACCTTAATGTCTACTCTGCTGTGGCTCTATTTCTTGCTGTGGTCCTTTTACTTAGTATTTGCTTAGTTGCCACCTATTTTGTTTACTGTCTTTTCAACTTTATTACTAACTTCCTTCTCTTCCCAGAATTCCAGGCTCTAAGAAGAGTCCTGAGGGCCCCATTGTAAAAACTGCCTCTGCCCTCTCTAGCCGAGCAAATAATGTAGTTGCTGAACACATCAAGAAAAATATTAGTAATGGTGTCATCCCCTCACCACTAATTGGAAAGGTAAGTAATTTGTAGAGCATCAAAACACCTCCTTTCAGGGAACAAGGGTAATCTGTATCAGTGCTTATGAAGTTAACTGTCAAATCATTATCATTTGGGAAGAAGAAATCTAGTACGGGTGATTCTGACCTGGCCATTTCTGTGCTGTTGGGAGCTTAGCCGAGAATGAAATAACTTTCAAGCAGTTTGTGTGATTTTGCTTTATTCTTGTATAGGATGGCAGCATTACTTGAGTAAGGGAAGGGGATGGAATGAATCATAAAAGGTGAATGTTGAGTAAATCTATTTAATTAAAAACTGCATAGTAGGCTTTGTTTCTTCTTTCTCTAATAGCACTTCTTAAACTGTGGGTTGTGAAAAATTTGGCAACAGTAAAAGGTTTCTAAACGCGCAATGACCAAAAATTAATCAAAAATCAAATGCATAATGAGTCCTAGTTGTTTCTGGCAGCGCTTGCCTGTGTTGCATCAAGCAGCTTCACTGTAGCCTTGGTTCCAAACACATGACTTGCACACTTTGCGCTGTGCATGCTGTCACGCCCACGCAGTGCCAGCAAGCATGGCCAAAACTTAAAAAGGGTATCAAGTGGAAAAAGTTTAAGAAGCCATACTCTAGAGAAGATCTGTCCATAAGTTTGAAAAATGTATTAGCTCATCTCCTTTAGGAGGTACAAAGATAGTAAAATGAAATGGCTGTGTATGGAAATGTTTCTTCCTTAGACTTTTCTACAGTAAGCGAAATACCTTTTTGTTATGAGAGTTAGTTTTGCCTTTCTTATATAGTGCCTTGCTTGTTTGTCCTTATGTTTACCTCAAAGTCCTTAAACTGTGCTTTCGTCTTGGATTTCCTTTAGAAACTGGACTTGGTATCAGTGAAAAAACATCAGACAGCAGAAGAAAATGGTGTCCCAGTTTCCAGGAATAGCTTTGTAGTAGGCCCTAAATCACAGAATGGAAGTGTTCAACTAAAACTGCCCCTAGGGTCCCTGTCCCCAAAACTTTCTGCAAAGCCCATTCATGGACCCATCATACTGGATAAACTGGGGAAAAAAGTCAAGAAGCCTCTCTCCCTGCAACACCTTTCTCCATCACTAAAAGTATCTCAGGGGTTAAATGGCATCAGCAGCTTATGTAGCACTAAACTTGAGAGCCGTAGGCAAGGCTCCTGGGAGAACAAGAGTGCTGTGCTAGTTACCTCACCTAAGCTCCTGCCTGAAGTGACTGTCAATGGCCATGGGCCAAAGGGTAATGGTGAGTGTTCAGATTCCAAGAGGAAGGATTCCATCAGTTCCAGCCCTGAGTATTCTGCCAGTAGTGAGACAGCCAGGGGGCCTGAGACCCTGAAGAATGGAGTTGGCTGTTTCTGTACTTCTCAGGAAACAGACTATTCTGCTGGTGAGCGTACCAAAGAGCCACCTGGTGGAGAGGATTCTAAGATGGTGAAGTTAAAGTCCCCTATCCTGACCAATACTACCACTGAGCCTACAAGCATCATGTCACCCCCACCAGCCAAAAAACTGGCCCTTTCTTCCAAGAAGGTGGGTATGTGAGGTCTCATTCCCTGCATGTGATCCATGGGGCTAGAGAGGCAGGTTTGATTTGCTTTCCAATCTTAGAATTGTAGAATGGCTGAGTATGAAAAGAGAAACTATAGGGGTTTGGGCCTCAGCTGAGAAAAACAAAGTTTGTTTTAGGTGTCCTTAGCAATGTTTTGGGTTATGATAGTGATAGTAAGGGATGGGAAAGGTAGGGATCAGAGGTTTTAAGGGAACCTTGGGCTTCTCTCTTGTATTAGCTCATAGATACTTATTGTTAATGGAGATAAAATTCACCTTGGGAATTCTAGGAAGATAGGAAGGGAGTTGCCTTTTAGCTGTAGCTAATTCTCCCCTTATTGGATGATAGATGGATGCATGCATAAACTGAACTCCAGTTTCTTGTTCCTAAAACTTAGGGTGAACATCAGAAATGGGTCAGGGTCTTTTGCTCAGATAGGTCTCCTTGCCTCTGAATCCACAGGAAGACTGGGTGTGGTGGAGTTTGGCAGGGAACCATCAGCATGGAAAATGGCAGCCATCTCCTTCATGGAGCATGAGGAAGTGATGAGAAGATAGTAACTGTCGTGTTGAGATTTCTCTTGAGATTTCCTTCTTTTTTTCCTTTTTGTTTCTAACCGAAAACACTTCTGATTCTTCTTCTATCATTCCCCACCCCTTACCTTCTTGTTTGTTTTTTGTTTTCTTTTCCTGCCCATCCTAACCTTCCCTCTTTCTGGGCTCTTCTTTCCCCTCATTTTTATTTTTTTTTCCCTCTTCACTCACGGAAACCTTTTTTAGACCACCAAGTTTTTATTTATGTCGATAACTACAGGCCAGCACCCTACGGAGGGCGACCGGCAATGACCTCCATTCACCTCCACATTCATCATTTGCTGACCACACCTACCCCACGAAAATCACCCACCCCGTCTTTGCCTCTTGGCCTGTCAGTAAAATCAGGTGAGTTGTACACATAGAACTCCAGAGGGATGCCCATCTATTCTAATCTGGGGCTAAAGGAAGCAACTAAACTTAGCCTTATGAAAGATATTGTACTATTAGATATTGATGTGAAAATAATTGATGACCAAACAAGGGATGGTAAAAGTGACAGTAATACACGTTCCTCATTGTTTCTTCTTTTTACCTATTAGAAATTTGAGAGAGGATCCTTCCTTGGTAAAGGAAAAGCTGAGTTTCCACAGCTTGTTTTCATCGTTCTTATTTTTCTGAGGCTGTGTTCCATATGCGTATATGATAGTAGACATAAATATATGTTCTATGAACTATATACTAAGACTTCCCTGAGTAATCTTGTTACATCTTGAAAAAGGAAAAGAAGATCTGAAATAAAGGTGACGTAAAGACAAAAGATAGCAGTAAGAATGAGGGCCTCATTTCAAAAACTGTTTCCACCCTTCCTAGCCAAACAATGTAGTTCCAGAGCATATCAAGAAAAAATTGAAATTGGTGCTGTCCCCTCACCACTAATTGGAAAGGTACATTGATACATGGATGTCAGAGCCCAAACCAGAAAACCTCCTGGAAATATTGAGCTGTATGCAGTTTGCTTTTTCCGTTTGCCTTTTGACATGTGATGCTTTGAATTCTGAAATGATTCTGCTTATTTTGTAGTTTGTTTTTTTTTGTTTTGTTTTGTTTTAAGTATAGGATTTAGGATTTATACATTAAGGGAAGAAAAAGAAACTAGAATTGTAATTTAAAAGGATTCATAAAAAAATGAAAGGAAAAGTCCCTGAAGGCTGGATAGAGACCTTAAAACATTTGACCTTTTTGACTTAGAGTGGAAAATAGGATGAGGTTAGAATACCTAATTCAGCAAACATTGTTGGTTCCTTTTCTTCTATCTCTTAGTTCCAGTGCTTGAAGTGTATAGTAACACTAACATTGAGACTAAGCCTTTCGATTCAGGACAGAGGTTTGGAATGTTGAGTAGGCATTTACTTTTTACTTTTTCTTCCCAGTTTTGTTTCCACAAAAAGAAAATTCTTTAGACCAGAAACTTTCATGGTTTTGTTTTGAATTTGGTTTCTTTTAGTAATTCTACCTAACCTGCATAAGTCTATTATTTAGACTACTTGTTCACAGTTTAAGTAAAGAAAGACAATAGGAGATATGTGGACCTTTTAGTTGGCTTTTTCTTATACAGTTCCTTTATTTAATTTGTGTACAACCTGATAGTTTTGGGGCTAGGAAATGGAGTCCACTGTTCACAGTTTTAGGCACTCAACTGTTTCCAAGATTTTCTGATTGGGGGAGGTGTCTATTCATTTTCAAATTCTGATAGCATTTAAACTGAAAAACATTTCAGAATTTTCAGAAGTACTTTGAACTTTTTGAAGGCAATAAACTATGTAAATAAAATAAAATAATAGTTGATGTTAAATTTTATTTTATAAAGACAAATTAAATCTCAGCTGCTGTGTTGACATGTTACCTTAAGTTTATTCATACATCTCAAAGCAAAATTTAAGATATTTAAGGGGAAACAGTGTTTAAGATTCATGGCTAAGTCATTTGAGATTGAATTTTAGAAAGGATGAGCTTAATTTGGGTCTTTTGGAGCTAATTTTTCATATGCCTGCCTTTCTGTTTTTAGGACTGTTTCACCTCCCAAATCATCAAATTCTTTGAAGTCTGCCTTCAACTCCTATTCAGTCAAAGCTTCACCACTTCCCTCCAGCTTCAGGCCTTCAGGGATGACTGAACCACATAGCTGCTCCTTTGCCTCCAATCCCCTGCCTCAGGTAAATGGGAACATCAAGATCCCTTCCCTCCAGCAGCATGGGGCCAACAATGCCCCTCAAAGCTTCTCCAAAAAGAGAAGGAAAAAGCATACAGGAGAAGACAGGCCATACAGAAGTCCAGAAGAAATCTCACAGGGAAATGGAGAGGCAGCTGACCTTTCTCATGGAAAAAAAAAGAAGAAGAGGAAGCGTACAGAAGAAGGACATAGATCCTGGACAGAAGTTGCTGCATCTCTTATGCAGGAGGAACAAACACAGAGACCGACTTGGAATAGAGAAATAGGAAGGAGGTACGAGTTAGATGTGACCGTTGATGGGCTGGAGGAAGAGAGCAAAAACCAAGAGATGAATGGCAGTCACATAGGAGAAATGACTGATGCCCCCTACCTTAGCAAGAAGAAAAAGGAGAAAAAAAGGAAGAGAATGGAGGAATATAATGAGGAACATTGTCACTATCAGAAATCATCTTTGGACAGGTGAGGATAAAGATAAAAGCACATCAGACATCAATACACTTTTTTGAGATTTAAACTTTCATTCTAGGTATGATACTGTTTGACCACAATCTTTAAGGAAAGTATCAGTAGAACATACCAGACGTAGTTTCAAGCTGTGGTTGGGTCAGTTGGATACAGTATAATGTCTCCTGGTGTTTCAGTCTAGATGTAAGCGTTTAAGTGATAGTATAATTGATGGCAGCCTTTCATACATTTATAATTTATTTTAACTATGTGTGTTAAATAGTTTGAGCTTATTTAGGTCCCATACTAGATTTTTTTTAGTCCTTTCTTGAGGTCCATACTAGAGTACAAGAATTTGGGTGATAGTATGTGGGGACTAACTCTTGCCAGATTATAAGTAGATAGAAGAAAAGTGCATTTTAGCATTTTGCTTGAAATGAGGTTTCTTTAAAATGAGTTTCTTTTTATTCTTTGTTTTGAGTAAGAGATTTAACTACTTCCCATAATTCTACAGCAGCTACTTTATTTGTGATAAGGATGAGCCAGAGTCCATTACAGAGTCCCCAAGGAAGAAGAAAAAAAAGAAAAGAAAGCAAAATTCAGAACAGGAAGTAGAAGAGAACGAGCACCAAAAACACCAGAGAAAGGACTGCCAGAATGACCACAAGATCATCCCTAAGGAAAACACTTTTTGCAAGGACAGCAACCAGTCTCAATCTGTGAATGGCCAGCATCCTGGAAATATTGCTCCATGTTTGTCTTTGGGTGAGATGAGGGGTGATTAGGAGGTGGGCAGTTTAAGAGAATAACGTCTTATATGATTGATGGGTTGTGGCTAGTATTTCTTGTTCTGCTTTGTCTTTCATTTCTAGGTTTCAGGCATTCTGATGTTTAGACACAATGTTATTTGAAAACTAAAACTTCTGTTTTGGAATGATTTGCAGCCTTCTAGCATAATTTATTCAATAACACTTGAAATGAGATAAATGGGGAGATGAGGTATTTAGAAATTCCTTATTTTATTCAAGAGGAAACTGAGGCTCAGAGAAAAGTGAGTTGTACAAAATAATACATGTAGTTAATAACACCGAAAATTCCCAGTTCATTATCATTTCCAACATACTGCCTGCCACCCATTCTTCACCACTGATAGGGTGTGTTGAATGGCAACCTGGGTTATCTCGGGTTAGAGTTAAAAGTTTATAAAGAACAGATACTGTCTAATATTCCAGTAGGGCCCCAGGTGTAACAGTACCTTTGGAGAGATCACCTCAAGTATAAGGGGGATTGATTCATACTAACCAGATTGATAATATGGCACCAACATTGTGCCATATCATAATTTGCAATCAGAAAATATAACTGCCAAGATGACCAAAATAATCATGTCAGCTGATCAGTTAATTCTTTTCCGAATCTACTTGGGAAATCAATTATCAGATGGTTGCTTGGTAAATACGGAGTCGCAGCTAAAGGTATTAGACATTTTTAATGGTTACTGTCATCAAATTTTAATGATCTCATCTCTATATTGAGATGTCTTTGCCCAGCAAACTGAAATCTTCATGTTAGCTGGACAGGACACTTTCTCCCCTTGAAAGTTTTGGTAACTTATTGACAGATTCTTATTACTCTTTGACATTTCTTCTAGATTTCATGTAGATTAATAGTGTCAAACATAAATAGAAATGGGTCACTAAACTACACATAAGGATCCCTGTGGGGTGCATATTAATTTAAAAAATCATTCGTGCACACATGTGTGTACATGTGTGTACATGTGTGTGTGTCTGTCTACAAAATGTGGTTCAGGCCATACTTTGGCATGTGATGGGCCACATGTTTGATATCTCTGATTATCACTCATATGTTAAGATAATAAGATAACATTACCAGTTAACTAAATTTTATAGCTTATTTTAAATTTAAGTATGCTTGATGAGATTTGGTGATACTATAATCTCATTAGTAAAATGCTATTTATTTTAAAAATAGATTTTATATCACCTACATTTTACTTCCCTTTTATCTAAACCCCCTTTCCTTCCTCCTACCAGAGAACCAATTTTAAAAAATGTGACAGTATATATGCCACTGGATTAGAACCTCTGCAGAGAAGTAGAGGGAGGTTCTCATATCTCTTCTGTGGAATCAAGGTTTTTTCCCCCATTACTTCACAACATTCAGTTTTGATTGTTTTATGATTGTTTGTCTATTCATTTACATTGTTATAGTCATTGTGTATGTTGTTTTCCTTATTCTGCTTACTTCACTTTGCATCAAAGTCTTTCCATGTTTCTCTGTATTCATCATACTCATTTTTTCGTATAGCATAGTGATATTCCATTACATTTTTGTACTACAATTTAACCATTCCCCAGTCAGTGGACATCTACTTTGTTTCCTGTTGCTACTGTTAAAAGTGCTACTATAAATATGTGTTGGTATATATGGAGATTTTCTTTTTTGTCAGTGACCTCTGTGGGCTATAGACATACCATCTCTGGGTCAGAGGGTATGGATATTTTAGACACTTTATTTTTGTAACTCCATACTGCTTTCCAGAATGGATGGACCAATTCAGAGCTCCTCCAACCATAACTCCACCAATTTTGACTTATTCCATCTTTGCCAATTTGCTAGGTGCAAGGGCAAACCTCAGGGTTGTTTTGATTTACGTTTTGTATATTAGTGATTTGGCTCATTTTTTCCTATGATTATTAACAGTTCTGCAAATATATCCTTTTTGAGGAATATATCTCTTCTATTCTGATTATTGTGAGGGTGTATATTAGGATTTGAAGCTTATTTTGTTTCTTTTCACATCAAATATTATAGTTCACATTAATGACTTACTTTCTGTCTTTTCCAAGAATGAATCTCAGATAACTGCCTTTTCTGTTAGCTGTAAATGGTATTATCTTTTTTTCTACTCACATTGTTTTATTGATGCTGTTTCTTCTTTTTTTTTTTCCATTATTGTTACTTCTCATTGACAAATCCCACCACGGCCAATAGAACCATCCTTTGTAACAAATAAGTACAGTTAAAACAAATCATTACATGATCCATATCTGCAGTTTAGTACCTTATTCTGCACTTCTTGAAGTGTGCTTCACTGGCTGTCCTCTGAAGTCACCCTTGGTCACTGCAAAATTCTGAGCTCATCTAGTGTTATTTTCCTTTATACTGTTGTGGTCATCATGAAATTGTTATCTACTGATTCTGCTTTAAGTGGGTTGTTTCCTCACTATTCTAGTCCATGACAGGAAGAAACAGCATCATCTGTGGTTTAAAATATTCTCTCAAAAGTAAAAACATGAAACCTGGGTGTTCACTAATTGAGGAAATGGCTGAAAAAGCTTTGCTATATGAATGTAATTCAATAGAATTGTGCAATAAGAAAAAATGAAAGACAGTGTTTTCATGTTTATATAGCAGTTCTTTACATATTTATTTGATCTTATGACAACCCTATTATCCCCATTTTTCAGATGAAGAAACAGGTTCAGAGAGGTTAAATGACTTGCCCAAGGTTATATAGCTAGTAAGTATCTGAGGTGGAATTTGAACATAGATCTTACTGACTCCTAAGTCCAATGCTTTATTCATTTTGAAATGCCAGCCTCTCAGATGACGAATTTGGAGGAATATGGGATGATTTTTTATGAAATGATTGAGTAGAAAAGAAGCAGAACTAAAAGAAGAATACACACACACACACACACACACACACACACACACACACACACGTGTACATAGTTAATACACCAGTGTAAATAAAAAGATCACTAAAGGGAAGCCAAACTCTGGGTAACTGAAAAGCCAGTCATGGTCCTGGATGGGAAGAGGGAGGGACTACTAGGACAGTATTTTGTCAGATTGGTTCACCATATTGGGTGTTTGCACTTAACTGTGTTTGTTACAAGGGAGAGTAACATTGTGAGGAGAGGGGATATTTTTCCACAAATGACTGTGATGTAAAGAAAAAAGTGTCAATGAAATGTATTCTAAACATAATATTGATTGTTTCCTTAATGGTTTAACGTGAAGATGTTATATAAATCTTTATAAATATAACTATTATTCTAATTGCAGAGAAGAAACAGGCTCCTCTTCAGCTCTGGAATAAAGAGAGAGAATCTAATATAGTCCAGGAATTGCTTGAATATTCATCTGATAAAGCTTATGGGAAAAAAGGTACTATCTTTGAGACCAAGCCTATTTTTGTTCCTTTGGCTAGGATTTCCCAGATTCTCAAAAGTACTTGAGATGTGGAAGATCTGAAAGGGGATGAGGGTGTCCTGGAATGTTGTAAAACGCTATAACTCATTACATTAGAGAAAACAGTTATAAAAATTGAATGTATGTTTACAAAATTGAGTCATCCTTAGCAGCAGCAAATTTCCTGTACTGCTTATTAGTAAAGACAAAAATTTGAGGCGTTAAGTGTAATGATACAGATAGTTTAAAATTTGATTTTATTTTTTAATATTCAAATAATGCTTACTAGTTGGATTTTTATTAAAAAGATGAATCTTAGGTATATGCTATACTTAGCCAAATGATCTTTTATCCCTTTTTTCCTCTCTTGGCCATCTTTATTGAGGAGGATTCACTTTTTTTTAAAGTAATAAACCTTTACTAGAGCACCAAGGGTCATGGCAGAGCTTAACTAGAGCACCAAGGGGAAAGTGGGGTTGACATGAAAAGGATACAATGGAATCTACTAGTGGGGGAAATAATTGAAGGGAATGGTGGTCATCAGGTAAAGGTAGAAGGATGGCATACAAATGAGTATTTTGCCAGGTAATCTTAGGGAGATGAGAGAACAGACATTTATTAAGTACATACTGTGTGACAGACCCTGTGTTAAGTGCTTTACAAGTAGATCTTTTGATCCTCACAACAACCTCTGGAGGTAGATGCTGTTATCCCCATTTTATAGTTGAGGAAACAGGCAGGCAGTAGTTAAGTTATTTACCCGGGGTCATACAGCTAGTAAGTGTCTAAGGCAGGATTTAAACTCAGGGCTTCCTGACTCCAGGCCCAGAACTCTATCTACTGTACCACTCATGGCAAGAGAGAGAGAGTCTGTTCCCACAACTTGCCGTATCTTTATAACAAGGTTTTTCAAGGACTACTGGGTTTATCTTCCATACATAAAGCCACATGCAGGATCTGGACACTCAAGGATGGAATTCTGCTCAAATGAATCAGATTGGTTTGTAACTTCTGAATTCCCAGCCAGAAAGGAAACTGACAGTTTCTAGCTTGGAAGATTCTATATGTGGAAGATTCTACAGAAGGACAGGAGGAGGGGATCATGACTAGGCCTTGGACAGCCTATTAGACAAATTAAAACTATGCCCAAACCTTGACCACCCACAATCTGCCCCTCAATAGGCTAACTATGTGCCAAGATGACTAGGAAGAATCACGTCCAACTGGCTCCCTGTTAACCTCCAGGATCAGATAAAAGTCATCTTTGGCATTTAAAGCTTTTCAAAACCTGGCCTCTTCCTACTTTTCCAGTCTTCTTGTTATTCCCTTCCACATGCTCTATGATCCAAAGACATTGACCTTTTTATTATTCCTTGAATTCAGTGCTCTACCTCCTGTACCTTTTTTGCCGTCTGTCCCTTATGCTTAGAATGCTCTATATCTTCTTCTCCCTCCTGTCTTCTCTAGCTTTTTTCAAGTCTCAACTTAGATCCTTCCTTCTAAAAGAGACTTTTCCTGGTCTGCCTTAATGCTAGTACCTTCCCTCTATTGATTATCTTCAATTTGTCCTGTATATATCTTGTTGGGTTTTTTTCCTCCTGTATGTATGTGTGTAGTTGTTTGCTTGTTGTCTCTTCCCATTAGAATGTGAGCTCCTTAAAAAGAAGGACTGGTTGGTTTGGTTTTTTTTGGCTTTGTCTTTGCCTTTCTTTGTATCCCCAACATTTAGTACGGTGTTTGCCAGATAGTAGATGCTTAATAATGCTTGTTGGCTGACTAACAGTTCTGTATCTCTCACTTCTAGTTCTCCATCACTTCCCTGCATATACACACTAATAGACAGGACTGTAAAAGGGCCTTTACTTCCCTTTATCGAGTTACTTATCTAATTCTACTGCATTCGTATATTTTACCTGTGAACAAGGATAGTGACTGGATCTATGATTTCACTGGTATAAGGAACTCCCAGGTGAGGAGACACCCTTCAGATCAACACCTTTTCTATAACTTAGAATCTTAGAATGTTGTCTAGAGCACTGAGAGGCTAAATGAGGTTAATTTTACCTGGGACCAATTCAGTACTCAACTATGGGCCTGTCGTTCCTGAATGCTCATTAGAACAGCCTGCTTATAGTTTGCTTTTTTTTTTTTTTTGAGGAGGAGGTAAGTGCTAGTTCATTAACATTCCTCCATATCAGTAATCCTTAATACCTGTTTGGCCTTACCATATCAGTATATGAGGTCAAGATCAAAGCAGTATTAATTAATAGTACTCAGGGACTCATCTTCTTTAAATAGGTCTTTGAGAAAGGGAGTGAAAAATAAAATGGGAACAGTAATAACTACTTGACCTTGATATAGTAGAAGCTTCCATAGCAGCATTATTTATCTCAGACAATTTAGCCATCTGGGGCATCAGATGTACAGTCTACCAGAGGGCCTAAGGCATCATCTTTCTGTTTCATCAAACTGCAGGAGCCTAATTTCTTTTGCCCTGGATAACCTTAAAACTGTTGTTGGTTCTCTTTTTTGCTACTCTTACCTTTTTCACAGAACATTCCAAAGTCAGCATTTAGTTCTTTCCCCAGTTTGACAGCTTATTTAGAAAACTATAAAAAAAGCTTCTCCGTTCAGTATCACCCACCCTGTCCCCCTCAGCAAAAAAGGTATGAAGACTATACTCAGGAGAAGGGAGTGGAGGCAGAATCTGGCTTCTCTCATCTCTTCTGCCAGGATCTGTTGCTGTAACTAACTAAAAGAACTTCCCAAAAGAATTAGGTGAGCCAATTAATGCTGAAAGAATCACTTTTAACAGTAGCAAGTAATGAGAAGAGCAAATTATGCCGCCTGATGAATTAGAAACTTAGGATTCTGAGTTAGCTAAACCTACCTAAGTATTGACAGTTGTGTCTCTGTTTTGTAGTTTTGACATGGGATGGTGAAGTATCAGCCATCAGTCAGGATGCCATTCAATATAGTAGACTGGCCCAAAATGAGACAGTGATTGATGACTGGGACAAAGAATTTGACTCTGGGAAGGTAAGACACGGCTGGGAATATGGGTCTGATGATGTATTTTTAAAAATGTATTCAAAGTGCCATAGAAAACCTTACTTGTTTGATGTTTCTTGGTGAGTACAGTGAAGCTAAATCCAGACCTGGTAGATAAAGGGAACTTGAGATTAGCCTAATGAAAAAACCATGATGGGATTTGGTGGCTGTGTTTTGTGAGATTTTGACTTCTGTGTCTTTCTTTTGCAGGAAAAGAAAACAAAGAAGTTCAGGCGAGAGAAGAGGAGAAACTTCAATGCCTTCCAGAAACTTCAGAGCAGGCGGAACTTTTGGTCTGTGACCCATCCGGCTAAGTTTACAAGCCTTAGCTACCGCCGCTGAACTCTGCTGCTACTAAGATAGGTAAGTTTGAAATATCTTAGAAACTAAGCTTATTTTTGAATGTTAGTACCAGTGACTTGAAGAAAAGATCATATCTTGTTTTTTTCAACTGTTGAGATGTACATTTGTTCCATTTATTGGTAGAGTGTGATGCAGGGACAGTAACAAAGATGAAGTAAAGTGTTGAAATTTAATAGCTTTAATGTGTGCTGCTACTCACTATGGGACCTCTTTTCATACTTCACTGAAAGCATTGAGGGTGTCCTTCTCAACTCCTTCTCTTTCCCAGTTCCACACTTCAAATCACTTCCACAGCATCCCTCCCCACCTCTAGTCTCAGAGGAGACTTATCTCCTTTCCCCTTTGCACTTTGCTTCTTGGTTGATCTACTATCTCTCCCTAATTCTTAACCTTTCCTAATCAAATGGCTTCTTCCCTGCTATTTTCAAACATGCCCAGATCTCTCCATCTTTATAAAACCTTTTCTGGAGCATTCCCTCAAGCTATCAATCTGTATCTCTCCTACCTTTCATAGCCAAACTCATAGAGCTTTCCTTCTACTTAACTCATCATTCGCTCACTTCTCAACCCCTTGAAATTTAATTTTTGTCTTTTATCACTTGACTGAAACTTCACCCTGCAAGGTCGCTTATGATCCCTGTATTGCTAAATCCTTCGTTTTTTTTATCAGTTGTGACTACCTCCCTCTTTCTGAATACCTTCTCCTTCCCAGTTTTCATGACATTGTTCTCTTTCAGACCTTTAACAATTGCCTTTGTCGTCTTTGTCCATCTGATGGGTGTAAGAGGGGTCTCAGTCACACCTAGAAGTCAGACTTGACTCTTTACTAACATTTATCCCCCCCCCCCCCCAATATCTAGTCAGTTGCCAAGTTTTGAATATTTCTTGTCCTTGGCATCTCTCATTCATCTTTTTTTAAATTGGCAAATAGCTACTGTGATTCAAGCCTTTGTCACCTCAAACTGGAACTGTTAGAGTAAACTTCTAATTGGTTTCCCTGTGTCATCCAATCCCTCCTTTCTCCAAACAGTTACCAAGCCTGAAGTGCAAGCCTGACCATGTTACTTCCCTGCTCAAGAAGCTTCAGTGACTCCCCTTGAAGATAATATACAAATTCCTTTCTGGCTTTTTAAAAATTCAGTTTTAGTTTATTTTCAGATCTGCATTCTCTCCATCCTACATTCCCCCTCCTCCAAGAAAAATAAAACCCCTGTTATATATGTGTATTTATAATGTCATATGTATATGTTATATGCATGTATAACATGAGTTGATATAAACATGTGTTAGTGTATATATACACAAATGTTAATGTATACACACACACACGTGTGCACACACACACATACACACAGTAAGCAAAACAAATTCCCGCATTGGCCATGTCCAAAAATTATGTCTCCGTCTGTACTATGAGCTCATTACCTCTCTATCAGGAGGTAGCTAGCATGTTTCATCTTAGGTCTTCTGAAATTGTGGCTGGTCTGATCAGTCCCTAAGTCTTTCAAAGTTATTTGTCTTTACAACATTGCTGTTACTGTTTAAATTTTTCTCCTGGTTCTACTTACTTCACCCTGCATCAGTTCATATAAGTCTTCCCTGGTTTCTTTGAAACCATCTCAGTCATCATTTCTTACAGTACAATAGAATTCCATCACATATATGTACCATGACTTGTTTAGCCATTCCCAAGGTGACAGGCACCCTGTCAGTTTCCAATTCTTTGCTACCTCAAAGAAAAAGCTGTTATAAATATTTTTGTACATATGCATCCTTTTCCTTTTTATTTAATCTCTTTTGGGTACAGAATTAATAGTGGTGCCACTGGGTCAAAAGGTATGCACAGTTTACCATAGCTTTTTGAATATAGTTCCAAATTGCTTTCCAGAATGACTAGGTCAGTTCACAGCTCAATCAACCATGTGTTAATATATCTGCTTTCCACAGTCCCTTCAGCATTTATCATTTTCCTTTTTTTTGGTCAGCTTTGCCAATCTGATGAGTATGAATTGAAACCCTGGAGTTGTTTTAATTTGCATTTTTCTAATTTTTAATGAATTAGAGCAGTTGTGTCAAACTCACAGAGAAATAGGAAAAAAACACTATTTAAGGACTCATGCAAGCTACATATTGACTTAGAAAATCACATATTTACATTGTGAGCAGTGCTTGACAACTCCAGTTTAGAGCATTTGGATTTTTTCCTCTGAAAACTACCTATTCATCTCTTTACCTTAGAAACATGTTGCAAAGATTTTTTCCATGTACCTGCTTCTCCTAATTTTATCTGCATTAGTTTTGTTGGTAACAAAACTTTAATTTTGTGTAATCAAAATTGTCCATTTTACCTTTCTCTTTGGCTTTCAAAGCTTTTCACAGTATAACTCCATTCTTTTTCTAGGCTGATAGGACACTACTCATGCACTCAAACATTCAACTTAAGTGACCCACTTGCTACTCCCTACTTATGACATTCCATTCCCTACTTTTGTGTCTTTTCACATTCTGCCCTGCTCTCCTCTTTTGGAACCCCTTTAAGAAGCCTTTTCTAATTCTGGTGTCAGTGCTTTTCCTTACTCTACCCACTTCCACTCCTTTCAGATCACTATGTACTTGTTTTGTATACATCTTGTATTGATAACATATTCACTTATCTGTGAATATGTTGTATCCACTGATTTTAAACTCCTTGACTGCTTCACTTTTGTCTTTTTACCCTTAGTACATAGCATAATACCTAATAGTAGGAGCTTAATAAATGCTTGTTAATTTATCACCTAATTCTTTCTTCCACAGCTTCCAGGAAAAAAAGTATCACTCTGTGAGCTGTAGCTGCCTGTCTGTTGGATCTAAAGAACAGATGTTGTGGACCTTAAATAACCCTGCTACCCAAAGGGTATTTACACTGTGAACCCACTTTGTCAGGAGAAGTCTCCCTCTGCTACTGTTACAGATCATCCTGGAATAGAGTCTTATGGACCATTATTTTACAAAAAGGAAAAATTTTAAGGCTTAGTGTCTTAGTGACTTCAAAAATGAACTGTAGGAAAAGCCAGAGTCTGATAGTACTGCAGAGATGGCACTTCATTGGGCTCAGGGTGTGGACTGAATCTAGTTCATTAAGTGAATGTAAGATAGAGATTCTTCCACAACAAAGACTATCCAGCCAAAGGAGATCTAGGTACTGGTGTGTTTAAAAAAATGAAAGGTGAAGGGATGGATTAGATAGTTTAATGAAAACTAACACCTCCTTCCCTTGAATCCTAAGGGAAACTTAAAAAGAGGACACATTTAGTAACCTTCATGGTGAAAAATCATCTGCACTACAACTGCTGGCATTTTATATGCTTCTGCTCACTGTCTTTATTTTTGAGTGTGGAGCTGGCATTTTTGTGAACCTGAGTGATTTGTCTATGCCTTTCCTGTCCATCTTGCTGCAGTAAGCAGAAGTACTGCATCATTTCTCCTTTGGAATGGAGGCTTTAGTTAATATTTCTCTTTTTCCTTGAAAATTGCTGCTATTGATATCTTCATAGAGTAAAAAGCTGATTTTCTGCAGTATGAATTTGTGATGAGCTGGAATTATCTGTCCTTTGCTTCCAAGTATGCTATTTTTTTGCTCCATTGTGACGGTGAAGTAGTTTACCTTACAGCTGCAATAACCCATGGAGGTGGTAGTCTTGGGGGTGAAACTTCTGTTTTACTTTGATATTTGATATAAGACAGTGTACTTATTACCAGGCCAGTGGTAACATATTTTCCCTTTGCCCTTTTTCTGTAGTGCACACCCATTTTGATACTGTTGATAGAAGTCCTTGGTTTAGACAATACCCAGTATTATTTATTGTGCCTTCAACATTAGCAGTTTGAGAAGTATGGAAAACTCAGTTTATTTGGCATTTTTGGAAAACATAACTTCCACTATAGGTAGGAAGAAGAAAGGTGATAGAAATTTCACACTTGGTATCAAATAGAGAATCTATATGTAACTTAGATTCATTCCACCAAGTGGTTATTTTGCACAGAACCTCCTGTTATTTATGTTTGTGCCACTTTCTTCTTAATTTAACTTTGCCTTATACTCTGCTATCACCTTAATTGGGGTTTTAATGTTGACTGTGTAGACAGAACCTGCTTTGGAGGAGTTGTCAGCATTGTAGACTTTGATTTTTAAATGGGCACATTCATTCAACAATCATTTATTAAGCAGCTACTATTTGCAGAACACTATTTTGAGAATAATAATACATGTGGTCTGTCCTCATTAGTTACTTCAAGTCTTGCAAAAACAGAATTGTAGGGTTTGCTAATGCTAATTAGGGGACTTTTTGCTCTCCTCTTAGACTGCAGATTTCTGAATGTCAATTTATACTTCATTCTCATGAAAAAAGAAGCAGTCATCAGTGTTCCTGTGGCTTAATTATCTATTGCCATGATGGAGGAGAAGCAGCTGCTTTTTTTCAGTAATCATTTCTTCCTTATGTTGAAATTTACTCCTCTACAGAATATCTCCCAAGCCATTTCTCTGTAATGCCCTATAGTTGAAAAAGAAAATTTAAGTCTTCTACTAGTATAATATCCTCTTTTATTTTTTTCTCCCACCCTCAACCTATTCCCTACTCCTAAACTTCTCATATATCCCTTCCATACTACAATTATGACATCTTTTCCCCATAGTCTTTGAAAATATACGTATGACTTTCCAAAGCATTTTATCATTGTCCAAATGTAGACCGAATGTAGACTAGCCATTTCCTTTTATAAAAAATGATTAACCAAATTGGGAGAGGGAAGGGATAGTGCCCAGAAATAATTTCATACAAACTCTAGGGTGACATGTACATAATTTACATATATATACATACATATAAATATCTATACATACAAACATAGGCATATATATGTCTTTTATAATAGCAGTCATTCAGTTGACTTAGAATGTGGATTTTATTTAACTTTGTGTTTAGGAGGTGAGTTGGGGTAGAGTATGATCTGTACTGTAAAGATTCCCCTTCGAGTGATAAAGTATAATATCACTCACAAATGAACTACCATTGACTAGATTGTTTTATTAACCTGAACTTCATTTTGACAATTTTTAAAGTCTCATATTTAATGGTTGTATAATCTCTCTAATGTACATGTGTGGATAGATATGTCATCTCCTTGTATTTTGCACCTCCAGTTGAAGGGTGCTCAGTAGCCTCAGATATTGCCAAGATCATGGTGCAATAAAACAATGAATTTTTGTGAGTTTTGTCAGTGTCTCAGTGAATGTTTTTTGGAAGACTAGTCTTTTTTTGCCAATTAGGGTGAAAAGTTCCAGTAGTAATTCATTCAGTGGCCATTGGGATGGTTATATTTTCTTCAGAATTGATGATTTCAGAAATCTATGGCTAGAATAATTTAGAACAGGGCTCAGAGTGATATGCCTCTTTAAAAATGAGAGGTAAATAGAAATTTTTGATAGTTTGGGGAAGATAAACTTAATGGTAGATTTAAAATATACTGTACTAAAGAATTTGAAAATAAAAGTTACTACAATTTAATATCAGAAAAATAGAATTAGTATAGAGACAGATGAATGAGAAATAGTATGTTATACTAAATGATCACTTTTCTCTGCACAATGAATTTAGTAAGGAGAATTTTTCAAACTTTTCAAAACTAGTACACATACTCAAAAAGTCAACAGTATTCAATTCAACAAACATTAAGGGTCTACAATGTGCCAGTGAAACAAAGAGGGAATAAGACATTAAAACATAATCTGTAATCCCCAAAAATCTATAATATAATGGGGAAACTATGACATACAAAACTGGAAAAGATTCATGATTTCATCTTTGTGGGTACTAATGCCACCAAAGCAGATTGGAATCCCTCCATGCTATAGTGTCTTGTGGCAATATTAATGATAATAGCAATTATTATTGTTTAGTGTCCAACCCGATTATGAGGCTTTCCAAATTTAGCTCGGAAAATCCTTAGATCTATTCTTGGTTATATAATCCAAACTTTTCCAGCTTGATATACGACCTATCTGAGCTTAAACTATGTTGGCATAGGGTCACCTCCATTCTAAGATGAAGTACAAGAGAAGTAATTCAGTGAGGCAAGACAGATAAATAACTAAAATCCAGATAGCTTGTAAATTAATATAAAGAGAAGGTCTAAACAGAGTTCTAGAAATTTGATCTAGGACACATCACTTATAGTTGATTACAGAGATAACTGATTAGATGTGGAAAGGAAAAAGTCATAGTGGCCTGAAATTTAACATCTGAATGTTTGAGACGATGGTGGTGCCATGGACAGAAATAGAAAAGTTAGGGGGAAGCACAGATTTGGGGATTATATTATTCAGTTTTAGACTTGTTGATTTTGAGGTGTAGGAGGACTTCCAGGTTGAAATCAGCAAGTAGTCAGACATGTAGGACTAGAGTTCCCAAAGGAGTTGGGGCTGGCAATTAAAGATTTGGCAGTCATCCACATAGAAGTGGTGATTGAAGCTTTCAGAGTAAATGAATTCAAGGTAAGGAGAAAAGGGTCTTGGTTACCTGTTTACCAGACCTGTGATTTTATTGATATAAGGCTCTCCAGAAGAGGAAACTCCCTTTACCAATACAGATGGGAGCCATGAGGCAATGAGATTTTAAGTACTTGCCCTAGGTTATACTATGGGTACATTTTAAAGGCCAGACTTAAGCTTAGATCTTTCTGATTTGAGGTTGCCTCTTTGTCCACTAAGCTATGTTTCCAAATATTTTTGACCACACACCACAATCAGCAAAAAAATTTTTTGAGCCCATTATGCTTATATTTACTTATTTATAAAATATGTATGTGCTTCTATACTAATAATCATATCATAAAACATAAAAATAGAAATGTTTAAAAAATAAGATAAAGATTTGATACTAGAGATACTAGATAAATATTTGATACTAGAGTCAATAGGGAACTGCTGGAATTTATTGAGTAGGAGAGTGACACAGTAAGACCTATGCTTTAGGAAATCACTTTGTTACCTTTGTTGGAGGTATTGGAGAGGGGAGAGAACTGAAGCAGAGACCAATTAGGCTATTCAGACGTCTAGGTGCGGTAATGCATTTCTGAAGTAGAGGGGTAGATGTGTGAGTGTAGAGAAAAGAATGAGAAAGATAAGGAGAAATAAGATTTGGCAAATGATTGAATATGTGAGTTGAGGTAGAGTGAGGAGTCAAGGTGATTAACCTGAATGAGTGGGAGAAGGATGGTGCCCTCAGTAGTAATAGGGAAGTTTAGAAAAGTGATATGTTTTTCCAGGGAAGATAATGAGGTAGGCAAGCTTTCACAACCATCCTTGCCTATTCATCTTGTTTGATTTACCTTGTCCCACCCAAAATGAACAGGGAAGGTAGGGCTCTTTCTGATCACTGCTCAGGTGTCCAGAGCTCTCCCTGAGGGGGTGCCTGCTATGACCATGGGATGATCTTGGAGGAAGGGGCTGGTTATGCTGGAGGAATGGGGGAGGGAGATTTTCCCAATAGTACTTGGAAAACTGCTTCTGGGAGGTTGGTTTCAGAGGGGATAGTTGGAAGCTTGTACTATGGAAGGAGGGGGCAGAATGGAGAGAATAATGTTTGGAGAGAAGGGTAGATACTGGTGGTGTTGAAGATAAGCCCCATGTTTGACTGTTTTGAGCAGAATCAGTCACAAAGACTTTGGGGTCAGGTCACATCCTCCTCTTTGAAGACTACTTAGGCCATGTTGTACAAACAGAATTTTTACTGCCAACTACATTAAGAGTGTACATCATGTTGCACTCATGAACATTTTAGAAGGTAGAAAGTTGTGAAAAAAATTTTTCTCCTAAACATTTGTTGAAGTTACTTCTGGCCTACATGAAGGAATTGTTTATCACCTTGAAATTTAGGCTACCAGGGAATCTGGTTATCCAGGAGGGTCACACTTGTGAGAAAAAACAAAAAACAAAAAAAATTAGGCAGATTCTTTAGATCTAATGTACTAGATCTTTCCTACACTAGGCAAGAAGTCTAGTCCAAGGAAGTCAATGAGTCAAGGACAGGGTACAGAATCCAAGTCAGTCAAAGGAATAGCACTACATAGGTGGCTCTGAGCCCACTGGTGTTCATTGTCGCCAGAGGGAGGTCAGACGACTGTTGGTAAATCATACTTCTGATTAGACTCAGGGGTGGGGTGTTAACAGATACAGTCTTAACCTTTTCTTCCTCTCTTTTTATCATGATAGTTCTATTAACCAAGGTTTAAATTTCCTGTCCTGCCTTTTAAGCATATAGCCTAAACTTGACCTGGCTTTTCCTCATGGCATTTCATAGCCTGGAAGAAATGTTGATTAACTGTCAATCAAGATCAGTCTATAACTCCTTATTGAGCACCTACTATGGATCCTAGGCCCCATGGTGCAAACACATTATAAGATATTTCTTCAAGGAGCTTAAACTTAAGGGAGATAGCTAGCACAACTATGTGGAGAATTAAATAGCAAAGCAACTTTAACAGATAACAAAAATGAATGACAAGTAGTAAGGTAAGATGAAAAGGACAGATGACCATTTTTCAGGGATATGTTAAGGAGAGATTTTTTTTTTTTACTGTATATGGATTATAAACAACTTCCAAATTTTCTTCCAGCTTTCAAATCTATGATTATACTCTATTCTGCCTTGTCTGACTTCTCTTTATCAGGTTGGGAAATGGGATACTATCAAATCGCCCGAGTTTCAGATTCTTCTCTCTAACTATACTGATACTGAACTATCACTTGGTCTTATTATTTGTATCCAGAGAGTTGTTAGTATAAATGAAGAGCTGGAATGGGCCTCAGAGCTCACCTAGCCAATCCCCTTTATTCTACAGACAAGAAAACTGTGGGATACAAATCCAGGTCCTTTCATTCCAAATCCAGCACTCTATTACACATTGTTGGCCTGAAGATAGACTCTTGCATGATGTTTTATTTAAAAGGCAGTGGTGTTTTTTTTTATCATGACTCAGATTAGAAAAAGCATTAGACCAGAAATTAGGAGAGCTGTGTTCTAGTTCCAGCTCTGCCATATGATCCTGAGTCACATAAAATTTCTCTTGAGCTTGAGTTTTCACATCTATAAAAAGGAGGACAGAATTGGACCAGGTACTAGAAGATTGCTGAAGTTTCTTCCCTATCATTCTATAATTTGCCATCTCAATTTTCATGGCTTCTGAGAGAGAGAGCGAGAGAGCAAGCTGTACCCAGTGTGCACTGTATGTGTTACATTGTCATTTGTTATTGTTACACATTTTCATATGTGTTACATTCCCTTTGAGATGATCTTGGCAATTCGGAGAATACATTTGTAAACTTCACTTAGATCCAGTTCTAAAGGATAGATATTGGTTCATAGCAAATACTTGCAGAGGTAGAATAGATGTCATTTTTTTTTTCTCAGTATATTGATGTAACCCACTTCCACCTAAGCTTGGAGCAGTTTCCTGAGGGATCACAATGTGTGGTGCTGCATACTTGCAGTGAGGGGTAAGGAAGGAGGAGATGAAAAATTGGGTGAGCCTGCTATGCTGAGTACCTTTGGAATTGTGAGCAAAGATCTCCCTAGAGCCACAAGCATATAGAGAAGCTATCCCCCAACATGTCCCTGGATTCCCTGTGCTGGCAACCCTAGAGACTGCCAAGGACATATTTCCCTGGTGAGATCATTCTATCCCTAACTGAGACAAAATTTTTATCTACTAGCAAAGAGCTTATCTACTCAAATAGCCTTTCACCTACTCTAATCTGTATAACTTTCCTGAGTTTCCATTTATTGCTTACTATGATAAAGAGGCTTACTAACCATTTATGATTATCTTTTGTGTACAAAGTGTTTGTTGGGACCAGCCAAGCTGGTGAGTAGAAGCTGACTATTACCCTCTTTTTGAGAGTGATAAAGGAAAGGAGCTTTTATCTTGAACCCCAAAAGTATCATACCCCTAGATTACCAGTATTCAAGGTGTGGTAGATTGGGGATAGTCCACAAAGGCAGAAATCAGTCTCAAAGAAAGAATGGAACAAGTCAAGATCAGATACCTATTCATGCCATACTCAGGACAGCTGTTTTATGTTGGGGGCATCCACATCTATAATATATATGGACCAGGAGAATAAGTCTAAAGTCTGACTATACTTATGCTAATACATTTAATTAATTAGCTCGATTTAGCATTCCAGCTTTGGTTTCTCCATCCTAAATGCTGAGAA